TTCCTGCAATCAAAACACTTATTTTCCAAAATACATATCTCCGAATTTTATCGATTGCAATCGTGTTTTGAAAAACTGAATGATTAAATCATTGGAATAAATCGGAGTGTATCGTGAATGCAAAAATAATGACTGGTGAATGATGATGGTTGATGAGAGACGAACAATTTATAATTGAGTGAAGAATCATTAATTGATTATCATAAATAATTGCCCATTCTTATTAAGACATGTGGGAATGAATTGGAAAATGTAATATGGATTACATATCGATGATTGTAACTGGAAGTTATCGAGGAAATTTGAAGCTTGGGGAAATTAAGAATGTACAATTCTCAGTAATAAGGCGAATGAATGAAAAATTCGCATACACAATTAATGGATATTCGACTACAAGTCCGGTAATTATTCCCATTGCTATGAATCCTCGTACGTTTTTAAATTTCTTCATTCAACAAACGGGAAAAAAATAACACAGACTATGGGAATATTCGGATGATTTGAGAGAGAGCTTGAAATTCGTATGCTGCGGTTGATTTTAGGAATGTTTAACCCTACATTGGTCGCCATATACGAGAAACGTCCCGCGCGTCGTTTTTCATTAAGAGGAAACCGCGGTGAAGTTTGTCTTCACTCGGCCTTGAGAGCCGTTGGAATATTGGGGTCATTGGACGACTTTTGATATATAAAGGAATATATTAAAAAGTAAAAAAAAATGTCGGACCTGTCCCGTTTTGCCCCGCATATGAACCAAAAATGTAATTTTTCACGTTTTTAGCGTAAAAATGCTCTTTGCACCACAGTTTTCATCTAATTCCAACTTTTTTTTAAAGGTTCGTTATACTTCAACGAACAAACCCAAGTTAGTCCCAAGTATTCGTTTTACTTCGTTTTGATCGGCTAACCGGAGAAATAAAAAAAAAACAAAATAAAAACAATTGGAGTATCAAAACAATGGTAGCTGTTTTTAGAACAACGTAAGTCTCGAAATTCTTAAAGAAAGAAACTTGTTTTCAGCAGATGAATTATCGTTTCCCATATTAAATGAATTTGACCATTACGCGATGTTGCCAGAGACTCACTAAATGCGCCCGGGCAGTGTAGAATGAATTCGGCAACGCAGGAGCATGAATAAAATGGCGGATAATCCCGCGCAGGTGACCAGTCGCAGGTCGAGTATGGTGACCAGACTACTTAGGGTTAAAAATAGCAGTAGATGTCACATTCGTTAGACATAGAATATCCTACATATCATAGAAGAGAGGTGAAATGAATAAATTGATTAAAATGCGCAATAATACAGCCCTACTGCTGATATTTTTTTCCCAGCTTTAGCCACTTGAATGAATCGAACGCTTTAAATGGAGAGGGAAACAAATTGAAGAATTATTTTGGACGAAGAGTATTAAATTTGATGTAATAATTTACAAACGCGGGCCTACAGTGAAATTCCACTAAGCCAACATCATTATTCAATCGCTGAATTATCGTACTCATCAATAACTAACATATCTGAACTAATCAAGGCTCAACCTTGACTTATGTTTGTAATTTTGTTCACTAGAAAAGAATCGGCACCAGACAATTATGAATGACAATAATTAACACACCCGCAGCCCATTCCATTCATTTGAATTTCCATGATGAAACACATTCAGTGAATTAAGAATACGAATAACTCTTTTCCTATAAGCAATTGGAAAAAAATTATTTCATCATCTTACTTCGCGACATTTAAAGAAATTATCTTACGCCATTCGTTGCTTCACGACACTGAGAATTTATTAACAGATAAAACAGCGCGAGAATGAATAGATTACTAGAATCGGCAATGAAAAGTAGGGCCTAATAATTAAGATGAATCGGGATTGAAAATAATTTAACCTAATGAGAGAGAGTAATTTTCATAGAAAGAATATGGGCGAGAGATCGACAAGCCACTTAATGCGCAGAACTGCATAATAAACTTCATAAATCCATGTATAATATATCACATTAAGTATCCGCATCATATTCACACTATCATCGTCATTACCATGAAGTACGCAAATAAAAGCGCATGATCATGTATGATCAAAGGTTTGAAACTAATGATAAACAGAATAATATAAATTTAATGGGATGCAAGGGGCAACCGGTCTATACCCATTGAAAAAAAAACGAATCATTAAAAGTAATAGATAATTGGACAATACTGGTCTCCTGTTCGCATCACGTGTCGTATCAATTTAGTATTAGTGGCAAATTTGTGACGAATGAATGAGTAGTAAAAAAATCAAGTAAATTAAATCAATGCAATATAATTACAATATGCTTCGACAGAGAGGAAAATTCAAGTTGTAATTCCTCGACGAAATGAAAACATAATAATGAACAAAGTATGAATAATCGTGGCGATGAAAAACGAATTATCGATATAATCGAACGGAAAACTGCTAATAGTAATATGTTAGGATGATATGAATTGATTGTAAGTTATGAGATTCAAATCAATTGTACAATGATTGCGTGTAGCACATATGAAGTGATTCAAATGTGAGAATGGAAATAAAATTTTAAAAAAATATGCGACAAGCCAACGGTAGCAGAGATATATATATCTATTAGTATTTAAAAACCAATTGCATTTCCATGAAAAAAAAACATTGAGAAAGAGAACAAAATGAAGGGAAAATGCTGCCGCATATGGGTGGTGTTATTAGTCAGTACCAATGTAATGTAACGAAAGAATTAACATATTTAAAAAACTGGGCTAAGGAAATGTGAAAATCGATCCACCGATCGCTCCGAATTGAATAAAAAATAATAAAAAATTAAAGTGATTAACGGGAGTTCATCAGTAGAAGGAAAAAAATATAAAATGTCAGAAATTCAAGAAGAACACTGACGAGATGGATAGGAATACTTTAGAATAAAATATAGTCATCCGCGAGGAATAATAACATGACAGAAGAGTGGAAATGAGAAAGACCTTAGAAACTCAAACAATTATGGAATCTAAAATGCTTGGCATTGCATAAACAGACAAAATGAATAAATAATGCAATGGGATGTTTAGAGACGATGACGAGTGCTCTTACAATTAGTCGATTATGTCATTATGTGTAGTAACTAGTGCCGCGTGAAATAATAACCAGTAAATGAAAAAATACGTGAAACGAAAATAATAATAAATTTGAATAAAAGATATAGTTAATATCGTTGTTTCGTTGATTGTTTTTCATAGAATTTATTGAATACCGTCTCCACGTCTCGTACGAATTGATTGGCAGATCGTTGGCGCGAGAAAAATAAAAAATGTGTATCAAGAGGACACTGAGCGCATAATAGGAATTTGGGAAACGGTGCTACTTGATGTAATTAAATAAATATTAACATTAGATGTATTTGTAAAAAAATCGATTGGAATAGAGTCACAAGCTAATTAATTAGATGATTCTGATTATCTGAATTGATAATCGTCCAATCTTCACAAAAATCGGTCAATTTTAATGCGCATACCGACTTATCCGTAAGAAAAAGAATTTATCGCTAGTGAATAAAGATGAATGAACTTACAAAAATATAATATGGTAGTCAATTTGTCAAATAATTAATTGAAACTCGTTTCGATCCGTAATTAAATAATTATATTGCAATTGTTATTCCTTTATTGAAAAAATTTTATTGAAATGAAATGTCTGAAAATAGCTTTAGATGACCTTATAAGTACATTGTTCGATTGAAAATGAAAACGAAAATGAGACTCGGGTCAAAAAGAATTATATCCACTCTATTTATTTTCCTTCGAAAAATAATGAATAACCTGCGTCCTTTATTGTAAAGATGAATAGTGATTTCAGTGCAATTATTTTGATGCTCCAAATGAAAAGAAATCTGACAGAAGAAAAAAGATGTAATGCAAACTCGTCACGAGACGCGGCAGCGGGCGCCATATGAGTATTTTTCTAAGTTGCAAAGTATAATAAATTATTGAAGTTGCATTAATCGTTAGTAGACTAACACTAAAAACAAAAACTATAATGATATATGTATGTATATACATACATATATATATATAGTTTTTGTTATATTTATAGTTTAGGAAAAGAATGTTAAAAGTAAAGCTAAATGAAGAGAATAATGTTTGATTACTTCCAGAACGCTCGGTGGATTGATTTTGAGAATTGAATAATATAATTATTAATTAAATGCGAATGGAAAGATTAATGAAAATAAAATGAGAAAAAGAAATATCCGCGAGTTTGCGGGAGTGCAGGACACGGAAGGATTAAAATGTTGAAGAGACCGTGACCTATGGTCACATTAAAAGAAACTTAGCAATGAGCATAATCGTGAATGTGCAAATATGCGAGATAAATAACCGCAGGCGTATATATATGAATCATATATATTGAAAATTACGAGAGAGAGAGAGAAGGGGACACGAGGAAGTCTATCATTCACCTCATCTATAATATACGATGTCATAATAATATGCTGCCATAACATATAAATGTCTACACTAAGGAGTATAAGATAAAGTAAATATGTTACAATGAGTATTGCTATTCATTTTATTTGTAGAATTTCTTAATTTCCTTATTTTTCGCTACTTGAGGCCTTTTTGGCTCCAGAAGTATTCATGTAGCTCTCAATATGAAACAAAAATCCTGATCAACTTCTGCGGTTTGGAGTGGTTAAGTGAAAATGAGGGTCATTTATTCTTATTACTCACAACAGTAATGTGGTATAATATCCCACTCAATTGATTTGACATAAAAAATTGAAAATTACCAGTAAATTCTTAGTCAGTGCTTATATCACCAGGTCCGAAAAACCCCGATTCTACCTTCGCTTTGCTCGGTTAGATTGCAGTTTTCAGGCCCAATGACATATAGTACATTACATGCCCCCACCTTGGAAAACAGATCACCGTCTCCCACGTGCAAGATTGCCTCCCGAGCCGAAGGCAAGGATGGCAAGCACTTGGGGGAGGGTGAGGGTAATATTTCAAATAGTTGAGAATAAGAAAATTTTCATTTATTTGTTCTTTGTTTTAGTTTTTCGAAGGCGATATGGAGAAATATAGGAATATATTCTTTTTTCGTTTCTTTTAGAAATTGGAATATTGATTTGGGATTCCTTCTCCCTTTTATTGGAGGTTACATGGGCCAGTGGCAGGATGGAAAAAACATTTGGATCTCATGCAACGTTGGATCTAAACATGAACTCATTTCCGGACATGAAAATAAGTTGAGATTTAATACTGAGCTTACATCTAAATGGAGTTCAAAATATATATTCATGAAAAATGAAACATATGCCACCATACTCTAGGCTGAGGCACGCCTAGCGCGCCCCATACGCTAGTTTTATAAAAAAATATGTACAAACATGCCTCGATCCTTACAGACAATCAGAATAACTGGGAAGGTCAAGTATTCAACCCTGAGGGTCAAACGAATAAAATTAAAACTACGTATTGATCCTTGCGATTACTCTGCCAGTGACTTCCATTTGACCCTTGAGAACGTTTCACACTTTTGGGATTATTCTGCTCGACTCTCCCGTCTGACTTTACCAACGTTTGACACTTAGGATAATTTTCAAAGTGGAAGTCGAGCTCTTCCGTCTTTTCACATTTCATTTTATGTCTCTTAGTGCAGCTAAAATATGTGGGATATCCATTTTACCCGATTTATTTATAACATTGTAAGATATCCATTATACTTCGTGTTGACTTTATTCTTCCTTTCACTCTACGTTGACCGAATAGGCTTCAAACTGGAGTCTTATATGTGAAAAAACATTGAAACATTCAAATAATCGTAATTACAGTCTTAACTGGCAGACATAAATTTATTATTATGACTTATTACAAAAAGTCATAACCTCGATTATCCGCTTTTCAAGTTGATTTCACTGTTGTTTAGTGATTTCTCTCTATTATTCATCTCAGAAGTTGAAAATGAATTTACCTGTGAACAGAAAAAATTATAAAACTGTTTAAAGCGGATTTTATGTTCTTGCGTATTCCAAAATACATTATTAGCGAAATGGTACAACGTTATTGGGATAACATTACATTTTTGTTGAAAAGGGAATTATTCTGGTAATCAAAGACAAACTGAGAAAATTTCACCAATAAACGATAAGTGACGAATCGAATAGTGATTTGTTTACCACTTCACACAGTCTTATTTTATCGTTATTCTCACCGAAGGTTTTCTTTTTCGTCTTCTTCGATAACAAATTCTCCTCATTTAGTTTACGAAATTCTGCAACCCTCTGTTTAAACAATTTGATATCATAGCTTTCACCGACAGTCGTTCCTTCCACTGATGCAATGTAATCAGTGATGAATGAGTTGAACATTATTGTTTCTACGAACCACTCGAGGAAAAATTGTACTGTTTTTGACGTACAGGCTTTCACGAATGACTCTTTCTGCAATGAACAAAAATAAATCATTAATTATCACTTTCTGGTTCATTTAAGAGATGAAGGCAATGGGAGCGGACGCGTGCATAGGAAAATTGTGAAGACTTCGTGATTATATTTTAGAAATTACATTAATATCTTGAGAGAATAAGTGGTTTTACTACAAATAATTATAGCTCTTTTGCGCCCTTACTGCGGCAATGAGTGGCGCAAGAAAAAACCTATCAGATTTTTCGCTTGGAATGAAGGTTGCAACAAATAGTATCTTTTCACACTTCTTCTTAGAGTCGATAAATACTGATATTTGCACGTTTCTGTACGATTCATCAGAAAGAAAATCATTTTACCTGAAGAATGATCTTTCCATCCTGTTGCGTGGCTAGATGAGTCTCCAGATGAGCACAAGTCTCGACAAAGACCCTGAGAAAAGCCTCAGATACCAAGAAATTTCTGATAACATCTCCATGCTCAGTGTTATTAGTAACAAGTTGCAGAGCTGAACGAATACCTTCTTGTAGTCTCTTGGGAAGGATTGATCCTTCATCTCCAACAGCAGTGAGGACCTTCGAAGTGTCCAAATCAACTACGATGCCATCCTGAATTGATCCCACCTGGAAAATAAAGAACCAAATGTTTTGATATGTGATAGTAACATTATGATATATGATAGTACTATGATATGAAAAAATAGAAGAAGAGAATAGTGAAATAAGAATTTAAAAAACGAGAACCCACTCAAAAGCAAATTGCTAATTTATTAGCAACAATTACCATACTCATTTATTTAAAAAATGCCATTGTCCAGTTGTTTTCATTTTAAGGTCCTGATTCTCAGAGCTCGTATTTGCCGTAGATACGGGTCAGGACACATTTTTTTAAAGCAGGTATACATCTAAACAAATGTCTCCCAGTGGTCATTTTCAAATTGCAGGATTTTTGGAACTCATTGGTGTTTCCTCTTGAAGAATTAACTTTTTCTATTGAATCTACATAAAGCCAATTTTACCCTCACCTGTGCATTGCTCCCACCCTTCTCCTTCAAAATCCCAATCACAAACGGCGGAGGCGCCCCGAGAATCTCCTGCAATCCCTCAATATCCGGTAGCACCGGAATAAAGGTATGGGGCCACCTAAATGGATACAATAGACTTTGGAGAGCTTCCACACAAGTGCTCAGTTTACTCAATTTTCCTCCCAGCAACACAACTTTCCTCTCCAGCAACAGACTTCCGAACAAGAAAATCAAAACCTTGTTGTTGACAGCATCGAACAGCTGGCTCATATCTCTCTCTTCCAACCTTGGATCTGCAGTTCTCATAATCAAACTCTCATAGCCCTCTCCCTCCCTCAATCCCCGACCGCCCTCTTTGACAACCGCTTTCAGCCTTTCGCCCTCATTATCCTTCTTGTTATTATTAATAACGAAATTTGAAAGTGCCTCAAATTGCTCCTCCTTAATCATCCTGAGACTGTTTCCAGGTTTCGGCATCGAACTGTTATACAATTCCTCAATAAAACCTCTTCGATTCTTATCGGAAAGCCCATGCCTGCCCTCCAACTCTTGAAGAACTTTATGATAGAACCCGCTGGCCCGGTGTTTAGTAATTAAACAATAGGTTAGAGGTAAAACAGGCCCGCCTTCTGGTTTAACTCTAATGCAGTACCCAAATCTTCTGTTCCCTTTTTCGTCCATCAAACACAGCGAATGGAATTGATTATGATTGGAATCATCAGGGGGCCAATCCTGTGCATCTGGAAAGCAAAAATTTTCTATCCACGCTGGTACTTCAGCGTAAATTGGATACTTATCCTTGACGTAAGGAACTTTAGTGCTCAGATTCAGCTCAACTAGGAGACAAACGTCGAACAAACGATCTGTTTCTCTTCTGAGACTTAGTTCGTTGTTCGGGGCGTACTTTGTCGATACTTTTCGCACATAATATTTACGTTTTTCTGTGAGGGAACGGTGGAGTTTTTCCTTAGATAGCTTGTGGGTGTTCTCATGGTTCTTAAAGAGGCGGAGTTTGTCGCTGAATGTCGTCAGCTCTTCGGTCAGGGAGAGGGTTGAAGCGAGACTGTCCGTGTCGGAGGACGTCGACGACTCGGTTGATGGCTCCGTCGATGACATGGGGAATTTTCCGAAAGCTTGGTTCAAGAGCTGCTCTGCCTGAAATGAGGAATGAAAGATTGAAACAGTTTAGTGTGAAAACGTAATTTCTTACATTTATCAGAATTTATTTGTTGATATCTCCTCATGTACATGAATGAAAAGCATTTCCCTAAGTTTTAAGGCTTTCGCGGTCATGATTAATCACTGGTTGTGGGTGCACCGAGGCGATTTTTACACTGCTCTCTGCAGTAGAACTTCAGCTTAGACCAGAGAAGGGCACAGAACGCTCATCGAGTGATCGTTGCTCGCGGACCCAATTAGCTCGGTTACAATAGGTTGAATAGGCCCCTTTGTACCAGGCGTAGGACTTCTACGACCCCCTTTATGGGGCGCCCTCTGACTCACTTAGCCCGGGAAGGAGTAGGGGTAGTGTGATACTCCGTAAAATTGAAACTTCTAGAATATGTACTTTGTTTTTTAAGAGCCTTTTTAAGTTAAAACTCTTGAGTTGAAAAAAATTATTAATAGCATTTACTGTGAGGAATTGAAGTAGATATACATGAACATGTTTTTTTTTGTAATTAAAAAAAAAAGTATGCCTAACGCAGGGATGGGCAAAGTCCAGGTAGCTTGGAGTAACCGCGTAAGCTTGTATTAGGAAGCCCATAAACTTTATTGGCCTTCCAGTGATAGGGGTCTAGTACGATCATAGTGGGGGTAGCAGTGGGGGCCGCAGTGGCAATGGAGTGGGGAATGTTCAAACTCCATAATAATTATTTTGCTTTTTTCATGCAATTATGTGGTTATGAAATGGCTTTCCATACCCACATGATACAAGAATATTTAATGGAAAAATCTCACATCTTCTGAAAAAAGTTTAATTGAATTTGGAAAGTAATTTTAAATAAAAAAAGGTCTTTAAAATTTGTTTACATCACTAGTTTATGGAATAAACTTCTAAAAACATTATATCTTCACGTTTAATGACATTCTACATAATTTCCAGGTAAAATTAGAAGATCGCCAAAATCCATTACAAAACTTCCATGCGGACGCAAAAACAAAAAAAAGTAGAACATAGTACATAAGAGTCGCATAAGCAAGGAATAAATCATAAAGTTTGTAACTATTAAACATCAAGTAAAAAATACATCATAAGGCCGACCAATCGGGAGAAACTAAACAAAAATCAAATAAAAAAAATTACCAAATAATGCACCTCTGCACTCTGGATCCTTCCACCTGTTTCTCCCCCCACCACCACTTCCTCCTGTTTCTTGTTTCCCTCATCGCACCAGCTTCTTGAGAGATAATTACACTTCGCACTCGAGAGATTTCCAAGCCCAGTGATATCAGTTCCGGAATTCGTATCGAATGAGAAAGGTTCAGCGTAAACTCTTTCCTCATTCCTTCTGTCTCCACTGTCTCTTCTTCTGCCCTCCAAGAATGTCGAAAGTTCTGTAGAAAGCCTTCTATCATCAGGACTGAGCGATTCTTTATAATATCCACTTGAGTTGAAAATATTCTCAATAGAGAAACTCAGAGAATCCTCTGACTTCGACTTTATATTAATTAACAAATCCTCACCAAAATAATGTTGAAATGTTGGTTGTTCATAAACAGTGCAACTAGCACAGTTCAAATATGGCAGACAATCAAATGTCGAATGTTTTCTACTTTTCGATTTATCAAATTTCCCCAACTTCCTATCACCCTCTGTCGTCCTTGATAATCGATTACTAAAGAATGATTTTTTATCATTTTTCTCAACGCTGTTTTTTATATTTAAATCACTCTGCGATTTGTTAGAATCGAACCCAATTGAGATTTCACTCCTGTCTCGTCTTGGCATTATTACTTTAGGTCCCAATGCCTTCTGATGTTGAATTAGGACGGTTTCTAATTTTTCCAGCATCTTTTGCGAATTTCTAGGTTTATGTGTTGATTCACTTTGATGAGTTAGAGAACAAAAATTCATGGGGATTTTTGGTTCTTTCAATTTATTCAATTCATTCTGTTCATTCTCTTGTTCTCTCGTTTTGTCCGAAGTTGTTGGAAACTTCGGAAAGTCCTTGCAAGACGAGAAATCGTCATCACTTGTGCTGGTGGAAGAGAATGAATTTTTAGGAACTGAATCAGTTATGTCACTTTCTGTTGTTTGTAAAACGAATTTCAACGGTTTACTACGGGATTTGGGGGAGACAAAAACGGGAAGGTCTGGATGGCTTCTTTGGACCAAGGGTGAGTGTGCGAACGTCCTGGGGGGCTTTTTCGGAGGTGGACCAGAAGGTAAGGGAGATTGGAGTGCTGCCTTGAGGCTTTCTGTTAGTTCTAACGATAAAGAAATGTTCTTTGAGGATTTCCTCCGAGATAACTCTTCCCTCACATCTACGTTTTTCTGTACGGCTTCTTGGGAACTTCTAAAAATGTTGTCTGGTGATTTTGAAGGTTTCACCACTCGCGTGTATTCAACTCCATTCATCAGAAACTTTTCTATCTCTGAAGAATCGATGTTTTCACAATTTTCGATTTTTTTGTTTTGAACGAGAGAAGAAAAATCAATTTCATCTCTTGATTCATTTGTATCTTTTGATTCCTCTTCAGTTCTCAGGGGGTAAATGTTTTTGTGACGTGAGATTACAGTTGTTCTCACTGTATTTTCCATTATTTTTGCTGATATTTCTCTTTCTTTTGATTTTTTTTCGTTTGATTCGTTGAAATTCGAATTCGATATGTAGAAATTTGTTTTTTTCTTCACACTTCCTATTTGTCCATATTCGGCAGTTTCTTCAAATATTTTCACAGTCTTGTGAACGAGAGAAGGCGATTTTTCAATGGAGGGGGAATGGAGATGCTTTACGCGAGAGAGCTTGTCACCTCTGAACGCTGGAGTCCGTTTGATGTTCTTAGAAGGATTAGAAAGCTGACGAGTGACATTGAGCTTGAGATTCTTCTTCACTTTCACTGGTGAGGCACTTAGAGATCGACGGAGTATGTCCTTTTGGTCAGGGTTGGAAGGAGCTAGATCACACATCGTGCCCTCGAATTTTTTTTTAATGAGGGTGACTTTTGCACCGTTTTCCGAGGGAATGTGTGACATTTGGAAAGATTTTTAGGAGATTCTACTCAAAAAAGGATTAAGGAGTTCGTTGAGATAGGGAGCGCCTGGTGCAGCTGACTTGAATGTTTTTTTCATGCATTTTACTGAAAAAATAAAAAGCAAAATTTTCTTAACGAAGTAACAGAACAGTTGTTCCTCAGGAAAATGAGAAAATTAGAAAAATGCGAAAAGAAATAAATCGAAATGGAAAAAAGTCGGTAACAAAAATTGTTGTAATACTCAACTGGAAATTGTGTAAATTTTAAAATAAGAATGAGAAAATAATGCTTCTTCAGTGGAATGAATTCATAAACAGAGAAAAGAAAAAAATTGACCGAGCATATCATAACATGTGATTTTAAGGGGATATATTAATAAGATCTATTTTGTCAGAAATTCCCTTAATCCAATGATAGATTCTTCTGCCGCTTTCACATGAAGCTGAATCTAGCGAAAGATTCGACAGCAGAAGAGTTGTCTTAGGCGACTCTAGGAGCGTACAGATGTTTTTAAGTAATGTACAAACTCTTTCGAAGTTGAAAAACATTTGCACATATGATTATTTGACTCTCCTACACTTAAATATCCTCTAAATTCAATTTAGAGGATATTTAAGTGTGAGGATATTTAAATATCCTCTAAATCCAATTTTCCGCTGACGAATATTCTGCTAGTTTCAGCTTCATCTCTTTCACCTACAATTACGCAAATTGAGACGAAAATCCTTGCTTCCAAGATGATACTGAATCACTCTTAAAAATGAAAACAAGTTTTTTTTGCTTTGAAATGAAAAAAAGTTTCTTCCCCATTGATATTTGTGTTTCATCGATTTAGTACTAAAGTGAAACACGTAACAAATCAAAGTTAACATTTCAATTGCTAATTGTGATTCGGTATCTGTAAATTGGGTAATTCTCTTTGCAACGATTCAAGCAACAAATTGGGAGGTATCTGCAAGGATACCAAAAAGACTGTCTAATATCCGCCTCCAAATTTATCTTCGCAGAAAAGTTACCTTAAATAACCCGAAAGTTATCTTGTGGCTGCAAAATACCGTTCTGTGCTGACATTACTCAGCCTTTTTGATATACTAGCAGATACCTTTCGCGAGTGTGCTCCTTGTTTATATAATTCTATTCCTCGAATCTAATTCTCTTCTTAATTCATGATGAGAATGAAACCAAAAATCTTCAATCCAGAAATAACATTTCAAATTGAAAATTTACAGAAAATAATTTTAAAATGCTCGAAACGTGCTTGAGAGCCACTGTTTTTCTCCACACCAGCTGTTCGATCTATTCACCAACGTCCACTCAATTCTGTGGCATTGTTTGCTAAGGTTAAGTTGCGTTTCAAAATCCAAAACTTGAAACTCATCAATTGTCATGGAAAAAATCTAATTAAAGAATTGCTATTTCCGATTTGTTTACTCATCGCTGAATCAGCCGCGTATTAACGCCCACGCCTTAATGACGAGCATCGATAACGGGTGTCAATAAACCCGATTACCGCCTGCAGTCTTCAAAATATTTTGTTCCAAACGTCTAACAATTTTTTCGCAAGAATTTTAAAAAATCAATCGAATTACGTATCATTTTTAACGGGGTTTGAAGTAAAGGTTAGAATGTAAAACTTGATCGAATTCGTACTTACAGACTGATTTTGCTCGTGGATCACGATCCGGTCGTTTTCACTTGCACATTCACTGGGAAATAAAACATAAACCACTGACGACTACCAGACAAAATTATGTTTCACTTATTAAACAAATTACATTTTTCTCCACCTGAGTTATTGGAGAGTAATTTCTGATAATGACGGGCATCCACCAAGCCACATGAATTGAATACTATTTTCGTGAACAATAAGTGCATTTACTGCGCTTCTTTAAAGGAAAGCAGAAGAACAATCGTGCACGAGTTCTGCCAAGCTACTGCTCGACACTGTGTTGAGTGCATGCAACAAGTTTCTATGCGATCCACATGTAAGGGTATCTAAGAGGTCATGAGAGAATTTTTGTTACTTTTTATTCCTATGCTACTCATATTGATTCTTGCAATATTTCTCTCATTTTTTTTTCAATTTTCTCTATGAGGGAGTAGTCCATCTGCTGCGCACTGTTTATATAAACGGAAAATTTTCATTCATCAATTAATTCATTTATTTTTTATTCCCGTCAGTAGGCGCGCTCACAAAAATTTTCGTAATGAGGTATAGGTAACATACCTTAAAATTGTAAATATTGAAAGAAAGCATTTTCATATGCCTTAAGTAATTATCTCGCTTCCTCCTGGGGCAAGAAAATCTCCCCCAGAGTGCACCAATAAATTGATTTTTATTAATAATATTTTATTTCAATAAATTAGGAGTCAAGATTAATTCTCTCATCGCGCGTCTAAAGTCAGTGGAGAGATACGTTCTAGCATTGGGTACGCTGATCAGTCGTGGGGACTAGAGTGAGAAGACCAGAGTACGAACCTCTCTCTCTGTATCTAGTACACTGAATTCTGCCAAAGAAGTAACCTCGATCGGAGTGGTGGGGAGCACGCGCACAAGTGGGGATTTGGATAGAGTGGGGGTATACGACTGAGGTTACTCCTTTGGCAGGAAGCACCTTACGCACTTTACGGGAGGATTCTCCCTTTTGCGCGCTTAAAGAACGGCGGAGAATCGCGGGCCTCCTGACGGGTCAAATAAACGGACAGTATTGTATACATTTATATCACATAAAAAATTATCGTCGAAATCTTTTCAATTATGACAAAATATTCGTTTGTCTGTTATCTCGGTCGAGTTCGAAGGTAGTTCGAGGTGGGCCAGAAGGTAAGAGAGATTGGAGTGCTGCCTTGAGGCTTTCTGTTAGTTCTCAACAGGTTCATGGTAAACTGTTGGTCTATTCCATAAAAACTGAAAATTATGTATCATATCGTTATGAATAAAATAGAAAGAAAAATTCAGTATTTTTATTTTATCAATGTCGATTCTGAGAAATGACCCCCGGAGTAAGCGCGTGGTGGTGGATACAGTCGCATTCTCTGCATTCACTTCTCCAACAGCCCCTTGAGTGTGACTCTAACGGGAGTCTACTGTAGTGATCTTTCGGAGGACGCGCTTCGTACAATTACGATTGAACTTCATTTGGTAAGCCCCATCAATTAAACGAACTTGGCAAGTTCGATCAATTGCACGAACTTACCAAGTGAAAGTCAATCGTTCAATTAAAATTCAATCAACTGAGAATCGAAAGGTGGAATAAGAGTTTTCAATACATTCTCCGTAAAAAAAATTTATTCATGAGCACTTGAGGTTTGCAATTAATTGTATTATATTTTGTGAACGAGTGGTTTTCCCTCTTCCAGGCCGGAGTCCGATACAGTCGATCGATTATCCTTCATCTGGAACAATTGATGAAACATTCAACAATAGTTTTTGGGCTCATGGTATCTATGAAAATCCCAAGGACATAAGGAATGTTATGTTATTTAATAACTGAATTTACCTTCACATGTGCGTATAAAATGATCCCTCCTAATGTCAAGGCAATTCCAGTCGCCTGATTAAAAGCCAGCGATTCGTGAAAAATCATAGCTCCTCCCAATAATAAAAGACAAAATTTGCAATGTCCTACCATATTATACCTGCATTTTTAATTGAGGAAAAAACAAGGAAAAAACATGGTGTAAAATATTATTGAGAATATTCAATAGAAATTTTGTTAATGAAAAGTTCCATGTGAATTGATTGATTCAAATTCTCAAAAAATCGCAATTTCAGACGCTCAACAATAACATGAGGCTCCGAAACCCGCCCATTTTCGGCGTGCTATTCGAAATATGAAATCACGGATTAAAATGCGATAATTCCACGATTAAGAAATGTATATCGCAATTTTTTGAATTTTGGAATGCTTCAATTCCGTAAATAGTGTTCTAGTTATTGAAGGATACGTTAATGGTGATGTATACCCAATGATCCAATAGGATGTGAGGTTCACGAAAAAAGCAACAATGCTTGATAAAAGCACCATTAGCTGAAAGAGACAACAAGTTTCTCAATTATTATAAATTAAAATTTACTAATTAACATTCTTGAGATGGAAAAATTCTAAAAACTTGGTGAAAAAAATATCCTTACAATGTCCAAACTAGTCCAATGGTGAGTGATAGTGTTACCAACGGGTTCCAAAATTGGTATTATAACAAACAGCATTACAGCAGAAATGGGAGCTTGGTAATATAATAGTTGCATGGGATCCATTTGAAATTCCTTTTGCTTTCTATTCACCCACTAAAAATCCAATAAGCATTATCAAACAATTGGAACACACTGAACTGAATCCTTAATGATACATATAGAGACAATCCCTTAGACCAATGGTAGACAACAAGGAATATTAGGAATATTAGCACATATATATCTGAATTTCGTAAGTGTATGTACGACAATCAAAATACTATTTTCATAAATGTAAAGTCTGCAGAATAGGCACGCTTGGAATTTTCTCCTCAAACAGCTCGTTGCTGACATAAGTACATTGATAACATAGATATTACTTTTGATTGAGTGAATCAGAAATTCATTGTTTAATTATTTCAGTAACGAAACATCCCACATCAAACTGGCATGAGACCTTCTGCGAAACAGAAAATATCTTACAAGATATACTTCTTTTGCTTCATTTTCTATACCCTGTTTCGTTTGAGATATATACAAAATTGACAACTTTTTAAAAAATAATCTCACAACTTGATAAAGTGATGTGATGATCACTCCTAGTCCCGCATAAATTGTTCCCCTGATATTAAACTGCAGATCGTAATAAAAGTTGATGATAACGCCCAAAACAATCGGTATCAGGGTTAATTTGACCATCACACTAAAATGTTTTTCATAGAAACACATCTGGATGACGATGACACAAGGCGTAGTCAGCATCTTGGCTACCTGATATGTTCCAATAGTATTATATGCCAAGCTCAAATTTGTCAGCACCACAAATCCACAGAAACTTGTGGCAATTAAAATCATGTCCTTGGCTGCTACACTTTTCACACAAAACACATCGAATTTCTCACATATTAACAAACCGAGAAAAGTTACAGCAAAATGGATCATAGACAAAGTTATGTTTGGAAATCCAATATGAAGATAAATCCATTTGTTTAATAACACAATAATGATAGAAAATATTATGTTCAGTATTAAATAAAATACTGTCTTTGTTTTCTTATGCATTATGAAGAACTTGACTCATATATTTGCATAACTGAAAAATATAAAAAAATGACATTCTTTATTCTGCAGTCAACTTATCAATCTATTGCAGTTGCATTATTGAAAGTGCGTTCACTGTTTTCTAACATTTCCAATTACAATTTCCTTTTGAATTTGTATGGTTCTTTAAATTATTTATGAATTGTTTCATGATAAAAAATTCCTTCATATTTTTGATCGCTAAAATCCCCAAATTTGTTGGGATTTTTATATACTGCTTGCATGATTTTCCATTTTTTAAGTTGGATTTGAAATAATTTTTGATTGTTTGCTGATCACGTCCCGGGATTCAATTATCATTTATCATTTTTCTAGATTCTTGACACTTAGGGACGGTTTCTCTACGTTCCCTTTGCGTTGGAGACCCTTTACACTAGTCGATTTGTCAATTCGGCCATTCGGCTGAAGGTTATGAAGAATTAGAGTTTTTCGGCCAATTCACAAACTAATGGCGCCCTGTTACGATCGACTCTTCAATTAGAGAGTTTTTGAAAATATGAAACAGATGGCAGCAGGACGTTACCACTCCCAGGTACTTAGCCGACATCAGTCACTAATTAGAAAAACGACCTTATGTACTCAATTATACATCGTTAGTACAATGGACATTTTTTTTTGTATATTTACCCATTAATTTAAAAAAATTAATGAAGTTTTTGCATGATGCTAGCTGACAACAATGAAAAATCGATCGATTGACCTAAATTAATGGTCAATTTGAAAAGAAATCGTTTATATATTAAGAATTTCATGTTTTTATCATTTGTACATTCATTGTTATTTAGTTAAGCTACTGTAAAAAATTATGATCTATCCCCACCCCCAGTATAAGTGGTTCCTGTTTTACCGGGACGCTATAAATGCATGCGATACCTGACGGGCGTTGACCGAACTAAAAAATACGTACATCAAAAACAACATTGTAATCGATCATTATCATCCTAAAAACACGCGAGGAAAATTAAAATTTGTGACAAACAGTTGCGGTTGCGGTTTTACCACAACCGGTGCCGTGAACCAAATTGAAACCATTCGTCGACCATTTGACACGGCCAGCGCCGCCATCGGTGAATAGCGAGCTCAATACCTCGTTACTTTCGGGTTTCAAAAGTAACAATATAACAGTAACGAATGATTACTACGCGCATATCTTTAGTTGTTATGTGAACGCCCGTGCGCCTTAGAGCCTAGGTGGCGTTTTCTTATTTAGCGAGCCCAATAGGAGAATGAGGAAGGATAAGGATATAATAATTGCAAATCAATATGGTGGTTTATTATTGTTTTTATCGGTCGAAGGACCTGTTGCAGTGCAGTTGTTCATTACAAAAAACATTTAGGAATGTCTCAATCCCTAGATGATACTAATATCATTTATGTCTACGACTTACCGTTTTTTGAACGAGACGAATTGTGTAAATTATTAAACCAGAATAATGCGTGGGAGGAACTTGCTGGTAAGAATCTTTTCCTCATCATTTTTCCAAGAAATACTGAGTGACAGTTAATGTGGAATTCTGAATGGAATGGTTGTAAAGTTCAATATGAAAATTCTAGATAAATTTTGACAAATTCGAAGAAAACATTTTTCGTAGAAAATAAATGATCGTCCTTAGAATATTTTTTATATCCGGCTATATCTCACAGGTTTGACTGTATTACCCCCTTTCTGCCAATTTTCATGTTTTTTTTTCATTTTTCTGGTAAGCTGTTGACCATATTGATGTGAAATAATATACCGTTCTCGTGGTTTACCATGATTCAATGATTTACGAAGTTTCATCTTTTTTTTTGCGTTCTGCTTCCAAATGGAAGCTTTGTAATTAGTTGATTTTTTGAGATATGATATTTTTAGAAAACGAGCGCCGGTGTAGCCGCAACGTTGATAGTATCAAAACTTGGTACCTATTAAACGGCGCTTTTTTCCGGTATTTTTGAAAAACGTAAAAATTATGTTCAAAAACGTAATATGCGAACGAAGTAAAATCAATAAAAAGGGTAAGTCGGAACTGAAATTGTCCGAAGCGCCACATAAATTTTACAATTTGTTCCGTAAAGATTAACCACCTGTCTGATGACTCACCGCCGTGGAAACAAGAACTTGTTCCGTAATTTTTCCGCAACGATTGAGAAATTTTACGGAATGGAACGTAGAAATAACTCACCACCTTCATAAAAATTGTTGAACGTTCAAGAATTTTTTTATTTCGGAGGCATAATAAGTCGGGAAGTTTCTGCAAGATTTTACCTCTTCGGGAGAAATTACGTGACAACTTCGTACTTTTTTTCGATGATGAATGTGAGAATTTCCTGAACGTTTTAGATTTCTTCTCTTCCATTCCTATCAAAATCGCCAGGAAATGATTCCCCATTACGAATTACGTGACTTGTTCCTTAATTTTTACTGAATATTTCTCTCCGTGTACTTTCTTGATTAATATACAATTGATTCACTCAGGGAAATGGATGAAGTACCCTCATTCAACAATATCATCCCTCCAAGAGGAGAAAAACCCAACGGATCACCTCTTAGATCTGTGGGGTCGCCACAATCACAAAATATCCGAATTATTCGGTTTATTATCTCAAATGCAACATTACCGTGCCATGTTGATACTCAAACCCTTCGTGGATACAAAGTACCACGTGTTGATCGATCGAGGTGAGGGGAACGTGAAGGCCGTCCTGGCCAGAAGAAAAAACCCCCAAAAAGATTCGAAAATTGAGGCGCAGAATTTCAACCAAATCACTTCCCAACTCCCTGTCGAGCAAAAAATCATCCGGAATTACAAAGGGGCTAAGGATAGCATTAAGATCATCAACAAGTCGGAAATGCTCTGCCCACCTCAAACAGCACCCAGCAATTCCAATAATCTACTGGTGGTTACCCCCGGAGCAGGCTCGAGAGTATCTCCTCTTCCAGAACGCGCTGGAACATGCTCGTTGCGGGGAAATGGATTTTCCTTTGGTAAGGAAACTACATTGCCCCAAATTTCGTATCAGGACCTCAGTATCGCAACTGGTGGATGGAATCCGCAGTTAGTGCTAGGGAGAGGAGGATTCGGGACTGTTTTCAGAGGTAAAATTTAAATAAACCTATTTATTGGTTGATTATTAATTGCGTGAGGTGTGAGATCCATTGCCAATGTAAGATCGATGCAGCGATTAAGATCGAAAATGTAAGACTACTTTAGGGTCTAATCAAACACTAATAATTTTCAAAAATTTATGACCGGAAAAGAGTGATCAAATAAAAAGACATTTTTTATTGTATTTCCAGGACTTTGGAAAAATACTGAAGTTGCAATAAAAAAAATCGAGAGGAAAGGTCCAGAAACTGACGAGAGCTACATGCAGCAGCTCCAACAACTATTAAGGGAACTAACCATTTTGAATTCCCGTCCTCATGAGAATATTTTGTCTCTCTATGCTTTCAGCATGGGTGGAGATGCACCTTGTCTCGTGTATCAATTTATGGCAAATGGATCTTTAGCTGATAGATTGCAGTTGAGGCACGGCACGCAGCCTCTAACGTGGCTAGAGAGGCATGAGATTGCTAAGGGAACGGCGAGGGGACTGCAGTATTTGCACGAGATTGGAGAAAAACCCTTAATTCATGGCGATATCAAGAGTGCTAATATTTTATTGGATAAAAATTTCGAACCCAGAATTGGAGACTTTGGACTTGCTAGGGAGGGCTCTAAGGAGGATTCGATAAAGGTAAATTATTTTACATGGATCCAGGTACAATTTCTGTGGTGAATTGATAAACTAGGTTACGTGCATTTTTTCCAAAAATGCGTTTTTTATCGTGAAATCTTTTCCCAACCATTTGTGGAAACAATTTGGCAAAAAAAAAAAGTTTTCCAAAAATGCACTTATTCTAGTTTACCAATTTACCACAGACTTTATAAGGTGTTGAATGATTCACAGAATTTCGCAAAGAGACAATCTAATAGCACATTAGAGTAGTAGGCCTGCCCTCACATTCGTTGAACTCGGAATTTATGCCTCTGTGGTTATAAGATTGTCTAATATGTGGAAATTTTTTTTTTGAGAGTAAGATAGGTAGCACCAGTGGGTTGATTTTCACTCGTAAAATCCTCATGGATATAAATGTGATGGAATTATTTTCCTTTAAAGTCATATTGAACTCATAAAGAGAATGTTAATTCAATTAGGCACGTTCCAATTATTTTTCGAGAATGATAGAATAAATCGTTTCAACTTCTAATGCCAATTTACTTTTAGATCAGCAAAATTCAAGGAACAAGGCCCTATCTTCCTGACGAATTTCTGATGAATAAGACATTATCTAGAAAAATCGATACTTACTCATATGGTATCGTAATGTTTGAACTGGCCACTGGGCTCCCAATTTACGATCAATCACGATCTGATCACAAATACTTGAAAGACTTAGTTAATCACTGGTTCGAGAAAAACTGGGACTTGTCGCAGTTGATGGACAGAAAGGCTGGAGTGGCTAACAAAGAGGTCTACAATCATTTAATTCTCGTTGGAAACTGGTGCTCAAACGGACTAGCTAAGCATAGGCCAGAAATGGCTGCTGTCTTCGAAAAATTGAATTTCAATATTTTATATCAAAGAAAGTAACAAAGAAACAAGCAAAGCTGATCAAACATCTTTATGCAAATGTGAATTTTTCTATGAATCATTTTTAATTGAATTGATGAAAGGATCATTTAATCAACTGGAAATAAATTGTTCCCGTCGGCTGTAGTACATTGTAAAATAAAACTCTAATTGTAAACGATTATAGTAAATAAATTTTCAAATTTATAATAAGATTATATGGAGAATCTACAAAAGGTGTTTCATTATTATTCATTTATTTAATAGCTTTTATATGTTCCGTAAGCTCATTGCCCACATAACTGTCATTTAGCAGTAAAAGTGAAGTATTCAAATCACACTCACGCATAAATTCTACCCCTCGTGTATTTTGCTCTCAATTGTCTTAAATTGCGTACGGGTAGGATAAAATACATCGAGGTTCAAGGTGAAATTATTGTTACTTGTAACTCATTAATAAGTGATTTCATGGCAGAGTATCAGTACAAATTTTTATCTGGAAATTGAATTCCTCATGTCTTATTAATGAGATAAGTTTATATTCAGGATTGAGATACATAAAGTAGAACAATTTTTCCAATTTCCATTCGACGAAATTGTATCATCTTTCAATGCTGTTTTTGACATCATAAGTATAAAATATCCATTCACATCAAAAACTCGAAAATTGTATTTACCTGTTCTGCTTCACTTTTGAATTTACAAAGTTCCCCAATGACATTTTCAGTCAGCTCATTTAAACACTTTCTTCAAAACATTTCAAACATTTTTTCTCACTCATTTCACTAATTATAATTTATCAATTAATGAAATAGTTATTGATATCTATCGAGGGAATTGATAACCCCCACTTGCATACCCCAGCCCCACACCCCTCTGGGTATGAGTAGTTGCCCTAGCCACTTCGTATTGTTGTTCCATATTAGTAAACATTTCCTCTTGTTTCTTGAGAATATCTGGTTTGGAACCTGTGGTCTGAGGAACAGAGGAAGCATCACCTTTTATCCCCATGAGTCTCTTAAACTTCGCCGTCATCTTCCCATCCTGATCGTGAGTGAAGGTCGTGCCCACCCAGGTATTTGACCCAGTAACAGTTGTCGCTTTTTGTCCTTCATCTGGCTTTGACTAAACGTATTACAACAAAATCAGGAATTTTTAATGAATTAATCTGTGGATGATGGGAGAATGAAAGTACAGCATTTCTAAAACTGTACTTTTATTCTCTTTTATTCAATAGTATATCTCTAACCTAGGGAGGAGGTAAAATAAAGGAGTCGTACCCACGTGGCGATGGTGGTAAGCACGTGGGTAAGAGTCCTTTATTTTACCATCCGTGGTTAGAACCGGATTTTGTGCCCGCCGTGACGAAAAGATGATTATTCGAACGTGGTAATGATAGGATAGAACGGGGTAGAAAAGGATTTTTAGGTTGAAAATAACTCAATTCATACATTCGGCCAAATAAGTTAATTCCTAACTGAAGTTGGTTCCCCCATTGAGCTCACACGGTGTAGCTTCACATGGGACAGACTTTATTTCACCGAGTGTATGTTTACTGAATTACATCAGTGTTTCCGTCTTGCTTGGAGACCCTCATCAGAACAATACCCTACATTTACTATCCTATAATTAGCTGGAGATACAAAAGGAACAGTTAAAATAAGAGCTCAGCACTTACAAGAGATAGACTAGGTTGTGAAATGACAGATTTCAACTGTGTTTGTTTCCCATCATTGGGAGATCACAGAAATGTGAATAGAAGACATGTTCCTGGTGGGGATGCTCATGTTTAAAAATAAATACAATGTAAAACAGTATCAGTAACAAAAAATGTAAATCAGAAAACGCCGGAGTTCATTTGTAATAAATTAGATTCGTTATGAAAATAAATCTTCCACAAATTTTCGGGTAAGATGCGTGCTGTTTGCCGAGATAATTCAAGAATTACAAAAGATAGATCACATCAATTTATCATTAAAGTCACCTTCTGCTGGATGCACGATTTTATTGGGAAATGTTAGGGGACTTTTTTATCCCACAAATTTGTGGTGAACCTTTTTGAACCGTCGTGACCTTTACGGCCATTAGGGTTACTGGAGTCTTTAGGGTCATAGAGACTACAACGAGCACAGAAATCAAAACGGTCAAAATATCCTGTTTGATACTGTTATGAGTGATGGCGACGTTAAGATAAAATTCCAACTAATTGGCACCAAGACAATTTAACAATAACGATAATCTTAATACACATGGAATTTTTAATTTCTAAAATTACCTTATTCGCCCAAAGGAGTTTTCGTTTCTGTATTTGTTCAGCGTACTTCCCTTGAGTGGCAGTAGCCAGAGGATTGTAAAAACTTTGCTCCATGTTACTAGGTGTCACAGGATTACCCTCAGGAGTTTTCAGCTCGATCCCCAGCTTCTCCAGTTGTGCCAGTTTATTCCTTCCTTTTTCTTCTCTGTAAGACATCGATCTGAATGGAACAGCGGGTGGTCTGTCCTTCGATCTAGATCTTGATCTGATTCTCTCCCTATCCTTTTCTTTATGATGTGAGGATCTGTCGTCCCTGTGGCGATCCTTTCGATCAGTTCTCGAATGTCTTCTGTCCCTCTCTCTTTTCCTGTTTCGTCTACTATCTCTGTGATGATCTTTATGATAGTCTTTGTCACTTCTGTCGCGTTCATCTCGTCTCGACTCATCTCTTTTCGAACTCCTGCGATCGTCTTCACGTGGTCGACGATCGTCATCACGAGACTTTCGGTCTCTGTAGTCCCTGGAGTCTGTATCACGTCTTCTTTCGTCTGTTTCACGTCGGGAACGTTCCTCCTGGCGAGAACGATCCGATTTTTCACGCTTTGAATCATCCCTGGAAGTATGGTGATCAGGTGTTCGCCTGTAACAGGATTACCTTTCTGCAGGGATCGACCACACAGATTTTCATTATTATTTGGATCTTTCAGGGGCTCTTGTGGTAATTAGGTGAACGGTCAAGTGTGGGCGGAGGAGGTGGAAGTTCATGTTTTGCGTTTTCTAAAGTATTGTATAAACCACGAGTGAAGTTAGGCGACAAGTTCGTATGCAGTCTTTGAAAATCAGGAAAAACTAATCGGTGATCTTCACGTTGTTGTTCAGTAGTAATACCTCGAGAATTTCATAATAAACGGATATTTCCCGATAGCTCCGTTGTAGACAAGCGAGAGCAACATGATTATTTGTTTGCAGGGAAAGTTGAAGGAAATATCTCATTATTTTTTCAATGTAAATTTCAGTCAATAGAATTGCACCATTTGACGTGACGTTGTCCAACTCACATGGTTTTTAACAGAATGTTTTTTTAAATAATTTTTTCTGGTAGTGGATGTATATAAAACAAAAAAAAATTCAGTTGCGCGAGCCTCTCGTCGAAACTGGTATTCGGGTGGGAAAGATAATCTTCAGAATACCACTTGAGCTCGTGATTTTCTAAACTGAAAAACTCGACTCCTTTGTTTGTTGGAAACAAACAAAGGAGTCGTGAGGTTTACAAAATACCTCAAAATGTTTTTCATGTTTTCCAGGGTAGTTGAGAAAAGTGATGAAAAGTTGTAACAGGCGGAGGGGGTTATCTGAGGTTATCTCCTGATCATTTTTCCTAATATTGCCTGTTATTGACAGGCAATGTTAGGAAAACTAAACTAAACAGGCCAACTAAACAATCACTTCACCTTAAATTCAACCAATATTCTCTAATTGACAATCAATTGATCTCAAGGAAACAATTTTTCGTGATGGTTCCATCATCTCAACAATTGGTCAGTCGTGTTCGGAGGAAAAAAGATTGTGATGTACTATTTTTTTTCCTCATCAAGATTCGTATTCCAAAATGACGAAACTTGAAGAAATCACCATACCTATGCTCCGGTGAGCTTCTCCCCCTGGCACTCCTTCCAGACACGTGAAAGTCTTGTGGGCTTCTGCCTCTCTCACTCCCAGAGTTCTCAGTAGAATTGTTGTTGTTGCTGTCCTAAAGAAACGAGAATAAATCTAATCAAACTAACTGCAATGACAATAACAACGACCAAAAAACACTTGAAATGCGCGAAAACCTCCCAAAACCCAAGTGGAACGGTTCATGGTAGCAACTGGGATTTTAAAAAGAAACTTTTGTTCTCGTAAGTCTCGTCTTATTACCTGATTAACAATCTCATTGGAGACTAACAGGGATCGAACGGGGGCTATTTGCATACTTACACATTTTCCGATTTGCATATTCGAGTCCGACATACCTTTTTTTTATCATTCCGGCCGTCATACGACCGTCATGACAAAAATAATGTTCGTCGCATGGCCGCAAAAAATTTTTTTGCCTTATATGATTGCAGCAAACTCATTTGACAGAAAACTTTCATTCGGCGTAGTGATGAGAAATACTATTTAAAATATGTGTCTCAAAACTTTAATTATTTGGCAGATATATACCTCCTCCCTTGCCTGGACCTTTAAGCCATGATTGATTCCATTTTGACAACAATTTTTTAAGTGATCATTAAAAATCGATGTTTGCAAAAATGTAAAATTTTTTAGAATCTTTACCGAAAATTAAAATTTGGTGAGTGTCAATAGATTGTGCTGTTCAAGTCCATATTCATGAATGAAATCATGAAATACAAAAGATCTTCTTTAACCCTAGTCTGGTCACCTGACGGGAAAATGCGACTTTAGTCACCTTCGCGGGAGAGTGCCGCCGTGTTATTTAGGCTCCAGCATTGCCGAATCCACTCTACACTTCCCGGGCGCGTTTACCGATTCCCAGCAACGTCGCGCAACAGGCAATTTCATTTAACACGGGAAAAAATTGTTCACCTGTTGGAAATAATTTTTTTTCTCCCAGAATTAAGGATACAATATTGAAAAAAAAAATACTAGAATTTTCCAGATACTTCAATTGACGAATTCAATTTTTCTCAAATTTTTCCGGTCAACCAGTCAATGGCAAGATGAACCAGTCGACGGCAATTCCCTCGCATGGTGATCAGTCTAGGGTTAAGGAAATTTTGGGGGAAAAATATACCACACACGATACACACACCATCTAAAAATCGCATATTCGGACTTTTTAGACCATATTTAGTTATCCTAACACAAAAAATTCGAAACTTAAATTTGAATGATTACAAAACTTCCATTCGGAAACAAAAAACATTGAAAATTGATACATCTTTGAGTAACGTGTAATTAATCCCGTTTAATTATAAAATGATTCTGTATTGGCAGTTATGCACGAATGTATGAATTATGATTGCGATAGAATCTGCTAGTTTGAGTAGAATCAGTGCAAATACAAATGTTAACATTTTTTACCTACTCACACATTGCCATCAGTAAAGTAACTCTGCGCAAATTATTGTACGTGGGAATGAACTTAATTCATTTCAGAAGGAAAATTATCGACTTTTGAATCGCCTCCAATGTGTAATTGTGGAAATTTCGATGTGCGACACTGCACATCTGAAAATGGGAAAGTATACAAAATAGCCTCGAAACATTTCCCCAATGACCAAATTGGTTAATTCAAATTTCGGTTAATTCTCGTTTTTTAATCGTTTTAAACAATGTTTTCTGCATTTACTGATTATACTTTCTTTTGGGACTTTTTGTTAGTGTTACCTTGCTGCTGTCTTCCTCTACTCACCTATGGCGCTTCATTAGGACTTGGGGGGTAGAGCTTGAGTTATGACCCTCGCAACAGCATTGACCATTTGCCGAAGTTGCGCAGATATTGTATTCATGTATTACCAACAGAGGCTACGTGTTAATATTTTCTCACGAAATGGCAACCATTCCCATTTACTTATTGATATAAGCGATTTTATACATTCTTTGCTGGTGCTTTCTATGTTTAAAGAGGGTAATTTTTTAACGATTTTCAGAGGTAATGTTTGGTTCATTCAATAATGATGATTAACGTACAAGGGATGAGTCAAAAATTCAGGCACAAATCGATTTGTGAATATTTTTGGAAAGAACGGTTTTTGCCAGGTAAAATACCTTCGCAAATAAAATATGAGGTGAAAAATAGAGAGAAGGCGAGGAGTGGCCAACCACACGAGTAAAAAACCCCATCGCAGAAGCCCGGGACAAAATTTTTTTGTAGTGATTTTCAAGTTTTCAAGTTAGGGAAGTATGCAATACCAATTCTCAGACGAGAAATCGTGAGAAGCAGTACAGAAAAGGTACTTTTCTGTATTTTCTCCTTAATCGACTATATGCGATAATTCAAATAATAATGTATTGAATTTAAAAAAATGTTCCTTCTTTTTGCCACTTGACGTTGAAACCCGAATTAAGTGAAACTATCGGTTGAATAATGTCAACTTCGCTTCAGTGATTACGTTGAAATATTCCCATATCCCTCAACTTTATATCGATTCATAAATGAAAGAACAATGAATTCTATGAACAAAAAATAGTCAATTCAAAATGAACACAAAAAACCTCATTACTACTATTGCCTCAGTATATTTCCTAACACTCTTCCCCCAACCCTATTCCATCAGTTTCGATTAGGATATCACTTAAACTATACTCCTGAGCTTAATGACTACAATAAACAAGAAAAAGTATTTCTCAGTGTTCCATGCATTATGTTCATACCTCACTCATGTCCATTTGAACTGGGTCATAATTCACGTCGCTAGCTCTTCTCTCTGTAACTTCAATTCTCGTCTGGGGTGTCTGTAAGGCCAAACATCATCAATTAATTCCTGAAATAGATTAATATACTCCAAAATGAATAGAGTCTCTATTCCCACACTCCACAGTAAAATTTACCGTAGGTATACGGGAAATTTTCCCGCGGATTTAAAATACTTTCTACCGTGGATATAAGGTAGATGGGCAAGTGCATTGGGTCCCTTTTTACCGTGGATATAAGATAGGTGCATATGAGGTATTCCACGCCAAATGAGTCAACCGCTGACCCTCACCCTTTTGGAAATTGATGGCGATTTTTTGTGCGATTGGGGAGGTTGAAAAACTATATCTCAAATTTTTTTAGACTTTTTCGGCAGCCCAGTTCGGAGATATGATTTGTGTTTCGTTTTTCCGGTTTTTTTCAATAACTCGAGTTCTATCCATCCGATTTTGATATATTAAGCGTCAAAATTTTTCATTTTTTACTACCCATAAGAAAATAGTTTTAGTGAATTTTTTTTTTCGATCTCTAGATGCGCATAATAACGACTTTTCGAATAAAAAAGTTGAAAAACTTGAATTTTGCAAATTACATCACCTATGATTTGTTTAATTTACATTTATTCATTCAACTCATATCCATGGTAGAAATTACCTTAAATCGACGGGAAAACGTCCGGTGTATCCAGGCTAAAAGTTACCGTGGGACGTGTGAATAGACACTATCAAATAAATAAACAATGGCTGCTATCTTTTTTTCTTTTCCCAGTAATTGTGAGAAAAAAAAAACTTATTGTCGATTGAAACTGCCCTCAGACTAGTTTTTGATTTATATCTGAACACTCTCTTAGAGGGTTGAGAAGATAACAGAGGAGTTTGAAATTTCTGCACAGTGAATTTTGTAGATACTTCTAAAAGTTGTAGATTCATGATGTTTTTTACGTCACAATATAAAAGAAAGAAATTCCTCTTTAATTCTTTCGCAATTCACTCATTACTGAAATGATTCATGAATTAACGTCAATATGTGTGTGAAATTACGAATTAATACTAAAGGCGAGTTTTCGGTTCAATTTAATCACAGCTAATCTGTTGTTAAAGTTAAGACCCCTTACCACTGAACCTAACCAATCAAGGATCTTAATCCGGAGTTAACTTTAACCGAGTTCAAACCGTGGTTAGCTAAACCAAAAACTGGCCCTAAATACGTAATTATCAGGAAAATGAGTAAGCAGTATTACAACCAAATAGCAGGAGGCCCTATTGCAGATCGCTAAATCCCAGCAAAAGAATGACTTGATAATTTCCTTCAGGACGAAATGGTAGGCAAGAAAAATAGACCAGGAAAAAATGGCCCACTCAAGCAAAACATGGTAAAACCCACCGAACTTAGAAGTTTCCCTTGGCCTATTTTTTCCATGGTCTATTTTTTGCGGGATTCGGACGAAATATGACAAGACATTGAACTGATTCCCTGAGAGCAACTCACATTGACTAAATTCACGAATCCTTTGGTCCTGTACTTATCTTCAACTATTTACGATTGATTAATTCTGTGCAAGCGTCGTCGAGCCTTGAAATTTTCGATACATTGCCAGTAATACTCACTTGTGAATGTTTTATGGATTGCAATGATGCAGTTACCTTCGTATCCTCTGAATTGTCACTGTTTTCACCATCACTTCCATAATTGATTAATGAATCCATGTGGATTTAAAAAAAAATTCGACGTGTTTTTTAATAGAATTCGTTCTTGCTTTATTATTCGTTATATTGTACTATGTACATTCTGCGGTGGTATTTTTATGGCATTATTCTTTGTTTAATCATTGCGCCTGAAGAGGGCTACCCAAAGGGATAGACCATGGTGAATAGAGGCAAGGAGGCTGAACAGGCTGAAGTGAGGGTAACTTTTGTGGATAGATTCTAAATTGTAATTTTGTACAGCTGGCATGAGGGCGCTACTATCTAGATTGTCGGTAAAAACCGCTGGGTTTCGATATAGGAAGTTCCCGCTAGGGACACTCTAGTGTCTTTCCTAGAGATATTTAATACTCCAGAATTTCTTAACCTGTCGAATGCCTTACTCATGTTCACTCCTTTCCAGTTCTTTACATCGTGCTACAAACACGTGGCCGAAGTTGTAATTTACAATTTTCAAGTGAATTACTGAGCTAAACACGTGAGTATCGTATAGAAATCCTTCCTAAGTATTTAATAATTATATTTTCCATTATTTTGATAGTTATTTGTCTACGGGAAGCTTAGAATTTCGACCCGGGAGTGCCCGAGAGTCACAGCTTCCCGGACAATTTCGTTTTCAACAATTTCTAAATTTCATTGACCATTTCTATTGATTTTATTTGCAGTCCTTAACATTTCAGCTAATTACGATGTTGAGGAATTGTCTCGTTCATTTTGGTGATCGACTCGGAGGTTTGTCAAGTAGATGCTCAAACATAACCTAATGACGAATGTCATGAAATTCTCGAAGCATTTGAGGGATTGAAATGAAAGTTCTAGGCAATTTTTGCATTTACTTGTGCAATACTTGAGATCGTATCTGAGAGTTCGAGGCAGAATTTTTTAGAGCTTAGTATTTTTCAACTTGATGAAATAGACTAAAAACTCCAAGATAGAATATTTCTGCTTGGAATCCAAGGTTTCTGTTTACTTGGTCCTCTATGAAGGAATATTTCCAGGGGTGCGGGGAGTATATTTCGTGTTGGAATTAATTTTTTGAAGGTTATTCCATTATGGAGACTTTATTTATTTGATGGTTATGATTTTGTAGAAAAGACTATTTCTGTTTTTTTAATAGTTATGAAAATTCTCAAAATAAAAGTTCTCAGGACATTTTCCTCTAAACCTTGTCTCGAAAATATCGACGAATCCAAAATGAATTAATCAATTTCATCAATGCTTTTCACTATAAAATACATTGGTAAAATAATACAATCTATCGATGCAAATAATTCACTTGTTTACTCTATTTATTTGTTGCAGAATGCCACTGGCAAAAGACTTCCTGCATCCCAGTCCAGCTGAAGAGAAGAGGAAGCACAAGCTGAAGCGACTGGTACAAAAGCCAAACAGTTATTTCATGGATGTCAAATGCCCAGGATGCTACGCAATTAAGACCATCTTCTCGCATGCCCAGAGGCCCGTCGAATGCGACGGTTGCCGCACCATTCTCTGCACCCCAACAGGAGGCAAAGCTCGTCTCACCGAGGGATGTTCGTTCAGGAGGAAGGTCCAGTGCTAAATAAAATGTCAAAACACTTTTCATTAAAACAATAAAAAAATCAGAGAAATTCACAAAAAATATGGGATATTTATTTTAGAAATGTATCATTTCATGTTTTAATTCCCTTTTCAAATTTTTTGCTATTTTATCTTCGTGCCGATAACCATTCCAAATATTTCAATAATTATGCGGCTATAATTATGATGTGAACAATACATGGTGTCTTCAGTCTAGAAATGAAAGATTTTGGAAAAAACGGCCTCTGCCTTCCGAGGATATATATAAAAAATTCGATAGTTGTGGTTCATCACGTTAATATTATTAAAAAAATGGTAAATACGGAACAAAATTTCGCATGTTTCTCTTCTGTCAACTTTTATTTTTCATGTTTACAACTAATTACATTTTTTAATTTTTACATTTGACGCAATTAATGACGGAATCATTTCATATACTTTCCAATTTTTCAAGTATTTTTTTCAGAATTAAAGTTCCATCATTTAGTTTCTGGTACTTGAACACTTCTCGAGGCCCTGAAGAATTTTTTGAACGGATCAATTGAAATGTTTTTTTATTTTCCTTTTCTAGGTTCCAAATTTGATCAAAATACAAATGATAGGATGATTTTTCAAAGTTCTGTGGGGTAACTGACGCCAACAGGTGAAAGTTCGAATGTCTCTTCGAGACATTGGAGCAGGCGTTCATCGTATCGTGAAGGATTGCACACAATTTTGCAATGTGAATATTCAGTATTTGTTCAGTTACTTTCGGGTGATTGATGTAGGTGTCTAGTTGGTCGACTAAAAGGACTCCTGGACGTGTGTGGTGAGAGTGAAGGTCGACAAGAAGCTCAATCAATGCTTCATAATCCTTCAAATACCTTTTAAATTAAATATTCAAGTCAAAAAATATCTTTTCAGACATAAAGACAATTTTCCAACTGCAGAAAAAACATAAATGATAAAACTCATGATTTTATATTTACATAAATTTGACCATTCGAAATGACTCCACCACGAGGGCATCTCTGTCATGATATTTTGCGGGAATTGAGTCAAGGGGGGTCGGTGTGATGTAGAGAACGTAACGTCCTTCCAGAGCCCAGTGCATCGCCGCCTATGAATGAAGTCAATAATAATTTCTTTTTATTGTTATTTTTCCATCGCTACAGGGTATACTGCGATGATGATCAAGACTTTAAATGGTTAGATTGCACCATTCTACCATTCTATAATGCAATAATAAAAAAAAACGACATCATCATCGTGAACGAAGCATGTTCAAAACAATAAATCGTTTTGTAATCACCTCGAATGTAAAAAACTGCGTGAGATCATAAGTTCCAGACAGCAATGTAGATTTCGTCGCATTTTTTACACGAAACATCCTCAAAATTGCAAGAATTTCTAACTTTTCTTTCCCTCAATCAATTCATAACTTCCGGGGAGTTCTATTATTCAATTTTTAGTAAAATAACGCACTCAGGACAAAACCGGAAGCCCCAGCGTGAATTACGATAGTTCAAAAACAATGTGGGAAATTCGATAAAATATCAAAAATAAAGATTCTGGAATTGTAACCAGTGATTTTTTCTATCTCTAATTGTTGATGTGCCAGATGTTTATCAAGAAGACGAAATGCTACCGCATCCTAAGTTGGAGATTTCAACTCAGCAGAATTGTTGTACCAAACCGTCGCAGTCCAGCAAAAGTAATCATTTATCAATATGGATGAATATCCAAGATGAAATAAATATCTTTCTGTTCCAAATAGGATTCCTATTAAAAAGAGAGCACTATCATGGCGGCCACCACAAGTGTCAGTATATAGATATCAAGGTCTTCCATACAGGTCTGGAAATTCCTCTGGTGGGGGAAGGCTTTTTCTTAACGGCGTGTATTTCACTTGGCGGTCGCTAGAGGCGCAACGTGACGAGCGGATTTTCGTTTAAAAAGCGCGGTCAGGGTTTTACCCATGAAGAATAGAGAAGAATAGGTCGGAATACCTCTCAGTCAATGAAAAATATACTGTCGGACTGACAATTCCATTCCCTTCGTTTTCAGAGGTGGGAGATATGGATGTGCGTGGAGATTAGCCAAAGTGGGGGTAGCTACGAAGGGAATGGATTCGTCAGTTTGCTTATACGTTCCCCATGAACTAAATAGTCGTTAAATACGGTGTGAAAACAATGCCCAAAAAAAGGGTGAAATGTCCAGTCGTGGAGTGGAAAACAGGTGAAACTGACACAAAAAAAAATATACTTGAATTGAGTATAAAATATACTTTAATCAAGTATATTATTCTTGATGCGAGTATATAATATACTTGATTCAAGTATATTTCATACTCAATTCAAGTATTTTTTTTTCCGTGGATGTGTTTGTGAAGAGAGCTTGTTTTAAAGTACCACACAATATTCAGAAAAGAAGAGAATGGGAAAAATCCATCCGGAAATGGAAGAGAGGAACCAATTTAAGGATTTCCCATATAATTTGTGAGACATTTCTGACCAATAATGAAATAAATGTTTGTCTAATGAGTTGTCATTTCAAATCTCCACATTTCGGCTCTTTTCATCCACAATTTGAGAATTTATCAAATACCGCTGTTAGAATGAGGCATTAAAGACGAGAGAGATATTCGAAAGACAGCTCATATTATCATGAGCTTCCTCTTCAATATAATTCTTAGTTTTTAGATTTTTAATTGTTTTCGGTCTCCGTTGTTCTTAATCACAAAAAATTGACATATATGGAGTCTTGAAAACATGCGCAAGCGTGGTTCTGAACCTCCGAAGGCGCAAACGCGAATGTGCCGCTAGCCGTCGCGCGTCAAGCGGCAACTGCTGGTACTACGAAACTGTCGCCGTTAAGGGAGCCATCCCCACCACCAAAAATTAGGTGGAGTTCCAGAGCTGTATTTACGACCGTGGGTCTGTATTATATATATGTCTATGGCTCCGAGCAACGGACGATGCCAAAGTGTTCGTCTATTCTGTTTATGTTTATTACATGTTCAAGTGAATAGTAACGTTTTTAATTTGATGAACGATATTTGAGTGATTTAGCAAATATTTATAATGATTGAGTTCCCTTTGGGGTATCGGGAGGTAATACCTGATCAAACGCAGCCAGAGAAATGGAAGGAGATCACTCTCGATACCGGTAAATCATTTTGAATAATATAACCTCATGTGGAGGATATGTAGCTGATAGATTGTGGACTCGGTACTAAACATCCGAAGCTATTAAGGATATCAAGTACTTCGTTCAAGTGAACAATTTTTTTTCAAGCAAGATTGCAGTTTTGCCGAACATTTTGGCATTCCCATACTTTGTTGGATTTTTCATTGGTGAACACATTTTTTTGTAGATGGTTGAATTTGTTTACTTTGGTTTTATTAGAGAAGAAAAAAACATGTGACCGCATCCGTTAATTCTGTATACGAAGAATTGCCATTGAATGTTAAAACTTTTCCTGTATTCTCCATCGGAAAGTTCAGTTCAAAACAAAAAAAGATCGCAACCGGAGCTCTCTAACGCAATTATTGACGGAGATATCGAGGATTGGTTTTTTTTTTCGTTTTGAAATTTTTTTTCTTTCAATTCTAATTAAGCGCTGCTATTGACAACAAAAGAAATATTCAAAGATATAGATTTTGGGAGAAATTTTGTCCACTCTTCGAAAAAATCGTCGTTTTTTTATATATCCAGGAATTTTGGTATATAAAACTAAAAGATAATTTCAGTCTCCCATTTGAGATCGTTCCCCATTTTCTCTCAGCTTTTTCTTTTGTTGGAAAATCAGAGATAATGGAACTTGAGTCAAACAATCATAATTTTGAGCCTAAACCGTTACATGCAATTGTTCAAAGACCTAATTTAGTACAAAATGTTTTTCTTCGGGACATATAAAGCACATTATTAACACATTATTAACCGCCACTCGAAACCCCCTGATGTTGACCGTGTTTCGCCGACTTCACGTGGGTCATGTCGTCTCCACTACTATTTTCGTCCAACTCTCTTCTCCTCCAGCTCGCAGTCGAACCAATGCTCACTGATTGAATTTCTCCAAGGCTAATAAATTTTATGAGCTATAAGAAAGCACTCCATTTTTTTAAGCTCAATGTGCCTTAATTTTCCGACAAATATTTTATACACAAACTAATCTTCATATGTTCCCATAATTAATTCCTAGGTGGAAGTCAGAGTACCCTCCAAGACATTAAAGTCCCGGAGCGCGCAGGTGGCTACTCCTACAAAGACTCCTACAAGTACCACACTCGTAATCGCTTCATCTACTGGAGAATCTCTCACGACATCCTTGAGCTAATCGAGCACTCCTTGGACATCAATCTGGTGGGCTGCAAGGTTCGCTACAAGTTCACGGACACACCTATATTAGACGGCATCACGATTCACGAGACGATCAACTCAGTCATCATCCTGATAGCGACAGTCTCCAGTGTGCACAAGTTAACCTTCCCTCACCCGGACAAAATCCACAAGCAGGACCATCTGCTCGGCTCCCACCCCAAACTTTCAATTCAGTCAATTCTGGGAGAAGCATCTACCCAAAATGCTCGAGATCCTCACTCATTTCACATAATCTCTACTCCAGGCACCACAAATACACCAGTATCTCATGCAGCCGCTTCTTGGCTCTTACTCCCCCACGAAGAAGCAGTATTCGCTCTCGCCTACTCCTCAGGAAGTATTCTAGTCCTACGACTAGATTCAATAACAGGATTAGTCCACACAAGTGAATTAAAACAAGACTCAATCGTGCCTCGATTCCTTTCTGGTATCGCAACGGCTTTCAGGGGCAAAGGTACTGAAGGACAAGTTGCTATGTCTCTTGTTATCCACAATTTTGGTAATGATACGTACCTTTTTGCACTCTGTCGCGAAGGGAACGTGAGAATGTGGTCGTGCAACAAGAACCAATGTGTTGCTGTCGCTGATGTTGCCATTGACAATCGTTTAGCTTCTCAGGGAACTCATGGACATATGTTAAGGAAGGTCCTGGGGAATGATAGTGACCTGTATTTAGGGACGTATTTGAAGTTTATTAATGGATGTGAGTTCAGTATTTTGAAGCCAGTGGAGGATGCCGGGCTATTCAAGTTCATTAGGGTGTGCACGCTGTTTGCTCCTGATCAACATTTAGTGGATTTTGAGTTCACGACAACGAGATTATGGGCGGTTTGGAGAATCACTGAGGTGGATAAGGTCGCAGTTACTCATGCTCAACTGCCTTTGAATGGAGCACAGGTGAATTCTGAATGGGAAACAGCAGTGCTGGAGCAGCTCCCCGACCGCGACTACATTCTCACGGATACAGGTACAGATCCCCGTCAATCCTATATAAACTACATCTTCCACCCCGGCCAATTCTCCCTCGCTGATATCACGCGAGCCCTGAGCATCTACCGTAGATCGAATCTTCTCTCCGATGTCACTCTCTCCCCAGCAGTTCTCAAAGAACGAGTGTGTATGGCGGTGGAGGCTGAGATTCAGTCGGAAGTTATGGACTACGAGATGACAGATGAAGACTATCTGGAAATCGCCAACAGGTGCTGGTGGAAGTTCTATTCTTGTGTGATTCAATACCATATAAATGGCAGTAGACCCATCGGCCTACTTCTCCTCCCCTCAGTCTATGGAGCTGCATTATTGAAGAAAGCGTCTTTCTCCTTATTGAGACCAATGGAAGCTCTGGAGCACCTGATGTTGTCCAACGAGAAATGCTATGCCGCGAGATTCAAGACAACTCCGATTCTTTCTGATGATGAAGATACATGTCAAGATCTTATTGCGTTGATGAGTGCTCTGGTAATGCTTGAGGAACAACTGTCAGAAGAAATTAAAACTGGAATTGAAAAGGATTTGTATCATTTGAAGAGTCCAGACATTGTTATTGAGGATTTATTTTCAAGGTTGTCGTTGGAACCTGATGATCCTCTCTCAGATTTTGACTTTCAAATGGAACTGCATCATAAACTGCAGAATGTGAAGGACCCATCAGCTGCAATGGCGATGTTGCTGGAGGCTTTGACGTACGATCTTGGACAACCTGATAAAATGAAACTAGATAATGAGCCTGAAGCATCGAGATTAATGCTAAACCTTGGACATTTGTTTTCGAGTCAATTGGGTATTTCCACGATTGCTGAGAGTGTGGCCCAGATTGCATTAGTGAGGTTTTCGATCTGCAGGGATCTATTAATTCTACAAAGAATTGTTCTGAGCAGGTCTGAGGCTTTCGACTCCAGAATGTTACATTCAATCAAATCATCTCTGGCACCACGAACTGTGGTGTTAACGCAAGCGTATTATGTGGTCACATGGATCAGTGAGAGCACGGCATCTCCGACACCCCCACAAGCACTGCTGGAGACCAGTGTGCAGCGGCTAGGGGTGTTGAGGCTGACAGATACGAGGAGGAATATGAGTAGGCAACAGCGAACCATGAGTTTGCTGGAGTTGTTCGTGCAGAGCGGAGGAGCAAAACATGCACACACCTTGATGGCCAACACCCTCGACCTTTCTCCCACGTCTGTCGTCCCTTGGCACTTTAGCCTCCTTACTCAAGTAACCCTCGTCGCCCAACTTGTCTGGCCTATTTCCGGCAACTTCGTTTTTCCAGAATGGCTTCTCTCCTCTTGTCAATTCCTCCTGGTTCAAGCTTATGTCCGGCTGCTCTCAACCTGGTGCGAATGGAATTCTGCCTCTCGTCGCTTCATTCTCGCCATCGCTCTACTGGAAATGGGCGAGCCACTCAAAGCCTGCGACCACATCCTCAGGGCCTCGAGTGGTATCCTTACCGATAATTTCCTTGTCTCCACCATACTAGACTCACCAATGCCCACAGAGTCTCAGGCTCTTGTCTGCTATTATTTGAAAGCCATAGAACTCTTCTCCCAACATAACGCTGCAGACTGCATAATTGAATTGGCAGAGACTGCTATCATAGTAGCTGATAAAGAAGATCAGAACCTTCCAACTCTTCATTCTATTATCTTTACTCAACATTTGAACCTTGGACATCATAGAGAGGCTTATCACTGCCTCAACTCGAACCCAGATGCTGCAAGACGGAGTGATTGCCTTCGCCAACTTGTCGTGACTCTCTTTGAAAGGAAAAAACTCATCGATCTTGTCTCGTTTCCTTATGTAGACATGTACGAAGACCTTGAGAGGATTGTAATGGGACGGGCTAGAAGTGTGGACTTGATGGAGAACAATTACTACAACTTTTTGTACAGTTTTCATATCAATAAGGGGAACATGAGGAAAGCAGCCTCTGTGATGTACGAGCAGGCGATGCGACTAGGTCAGGAGTCTCACTCGGTTGAAATTATCTCTAAGCAAGCTCAATGCCTGCTGGCTTGTATTAATGCCCTCAGTCTTGTTAGTGAGAAGTATCGGTGGATTGTGAGACCTGTGGTGGAGCAGAGTTATCCGAAGGAAGTCAATCCGAAGAAGAAGAGAAGTGTTGATGGGAGAGAAGTGCTGCATTACAAGGTGAAAAAATTTGTGGAAGTACTGGAAATCAAGGACATCAAGAAAGAATACTGGTTAGTCGATGCTAGATTGGAGCTATCAAAGATGAATTCAGAGATACACACAGTGGCACGAGCGGAACCTTCAGAACTCATCGCAGTTCTAGCTAATATTGGTTTATATATAACAGCTCTCCACCTCTGCAAAGAGTTCAGGATTTCCAAGTCACCAGTACTGGAGACACTGACTTCACAATGTCTAAGATTAAGTCAGAATGAGGATAATGATGCCTGGGATTGGTTAATTCAGAACGATGTATATGATATCGTTGGCTGTGGGAGTAATGTTGCTGATGTCTCTTGGAGACTTTTGGAAAGATTGACGTTGGATCATGAAGAGGGGGAGAGCAGTGAATTGCATAAAGCGGTAGCGAAAAAACTTTTGCATTTAGGCGCATTTATACCGCAGTGGCTGATGGGGTCATACAAAAAGAGGAATGCCGCTGAACTATTGAGGATTATCGTTGGGAGTGGGAGATTGCTAGAGGCTTGTGATCTTGCTGTAGATTATATCAATGCTGTCCTTGGAGAGGGTATGGAGTACTTTGGATTAAAGCAGCCAATCGTGGCCACAGGTGCCCCTGTCTGGCTACCACTGAATACCATTGAGCTGCTTTTAATGGAACTTGAGCATGCAAAGAGGGAAGACAACGTTTATGTTGAGGTTAGTGATGCTAAATGATCAAATTTGATTCATAGCTTTATAGACTATTTTTTAGAAAAAGTTGGGACAGCTTATATCTGCAACATCTAAAAGAACTATTATACCAAATTTAATTTACTCATTAATACTTAGGGGAGGTTGGGGTAAAACGGACACTTGACTTTTTTTTAAATGCTAATGAGGGGTTGAAATGTTGATAAAATTTTTTTTTTTTTCAATATGAAGAACAATTCTTTCCCTTTGTGACGAGCTTAAACTGAGCTCAATTGATCAATTTGTTTCTGAGTTATAAATAGTTTTAAAAAAGTCTAGTGTCCGTTTTACCCCACCCTCCCCTAAATGACCCGAAATTTAGAAAACAAGACGAAATTCGCAGACATTAAGTATCATTGTCTCAATAAAAACTGTAGGATTATTGGGAAGTATTCTTCATTTTCAATCATAGTTCAACCAAAAGGAATAGTAAATATTTAATCTAGGGAGGTGAAATGAAGAAGTCGTGGCCACGTGCGAAATTGGTAAACACGTGGGTACGAGTCCTTTATTTTACCTTTCGGTGTTAGAACCGAATTTTCCACCTTGGCTCGGGCGCAACATCAGATTTGCACTTTATAAAGTCAAATGTGCACTTTGCACCATTCGGGACGAAAAAGGAATTTTAGTCCGATTATATAAATACTGAATATATGCTCCAAATAAGATTAAAAAAATGCGGTGTACACTACATATCTCGAGTTGTTAATGATGGTTGAAAAAAAAACATTTAGATGGGCGTAAAATAATGAAGACTTTTTTATTTGTATAGAGCTATGGACGGCTCAAGAAAACACTTGATCAGTATGTTCAAACAATGGTGAGGGTTTCTGAAGACATGGTGCGATTCAAAGTTAGTAAATTAGAAATTAAACACAGTAAGTACTCAATTGATTTACTTAGAAACGCCAATTCCATGTGACATTCATTCTGAATGCATCAGCATGTTAAACGATACTGATAATATTCGTTCATTCATTTCAGAGGACACTTGACTGCCGTAATTGGTCCAGAATTCCGCAAAAAAAACTTGAGAATTTAATAAATTAAATTTGTTTGTTTTTTTCCTTTTTGTACACTTGTAAAGCTAAACATGTTATCCATACAAGAACAAAGAACCTTTTTTATAAATAAATAAATAATAAATAATCTGAAACAAAAGTCAGAATGTTATCATATTTTTCAACTAATAACGAATGACTTCGATCTCCCCAGTGGGGATCTGGTGATAACAAAACGCTGAGTATTATTATAGTGATATACTTGTTTAAATAATTTGATACTTTTTTTTCGATACTTCAAATCGGAAAAACTTTTGACACCAGTCAATGTAGAGAAAAATGCCACAATTATTTTGCATCATTCTGTGCGTCAACTGTCAGGACCAGTGCTGGTCCAAAACACTAAAATACAGTTGACGCATGCTATTTCAATAGGCCAAAATAATTTTTTCTTGATTTTTGCATATGTTGTAGAAAAGGTTCAAAAATGTACAGAAACGTGAGCAAAAAAATAGAATAAAAATTGCACAAGTATAAGAAACCAAATTTGATGTCATCAGATAAGTAATTGTTTATAGCCCCCCTTTTCACACGTGTAACGTATACTATTTTTTGAAATTCGTGTTTGAAAAAGACTCATAATTTTTTTCAACTATTAAACGGAAACTACTCTTCAACGGAAATTTTTTTTAATTAAATTATTTTGGGATTGCGGTATGTTAAAAGAAAGATTTTGTTAAAACTTGTTTTTGGAAATTATATTTTATTGAAGAAAAATTATTTTCAAATAATCTACGCCTTTTCCCTTCAAAAATATTGGCATGAAATTAAAATAAAAAATGATGAACTTCAATTTTGAACTTCTCTTTTTTATTTGATACAAATTAGAATAGCATTTACATACAACTCTGATACATTCCTTACAATTTCATATTCACAGGGCACGGAAGAGCTCCACACATACAATTTTCCAAGGAATTCTCCATCTCTTGAGAAATAAATCTTGTAAACTCAATTTGAACACTTGAAATGCAAAAATTCTCCGTCTGGAAATTTAAAAAATTGAAAAACCATGAAAATTCAATTTTAATGGCAATTGAACCAGAGATATAGAACTACTAAAACTAGTTCTTTAGCGATACAAAAATCGCTGCTGGGAATTAGTCTGCAGCGATTTTCAGTTTGGTAATCGAGTGGCGGAACTTATTTATAGATCTCGTGAATGAATTATTAGGCGAAGAAATCTCAAAATCCTTTGGGAGTCTTTTTTTCTGTTCACAGAACAGGAGGTCCTGTGATCTTTCTTCATCAAGCCCCTTATTGGCGAAATGACTGAATGATTAATAAAAAATATCCACCAAGTATAGAATATCTTGAATATTCACTTATATTGAGAGAGAATATCGAAAGTTGCAGAAATTCCCGATCAAAAATGTCTCTTTGAAATTTCTCATCTCACTACTTTCTGCAATATTCCAACTTAAACAATTTGCTACAGAGTTTATCACTCATTACCCCCTCAACTCTTCACAGTTCATCATGTTCATCATCTTTACTCTCTTCCCCCTCAGCATCTACGTCCTCTTCCGCAACAGTTTCTTCACTTTCTCCTCCCAGAACCTCATCATCCTCTTCCTCTTCAGGCACCTCATCTAATGGAATTCCTAGCGTCTTCCTCATCAGCAATTCGACACTCTCAGCAAAACTGGCAGTCTCTCTCAGCATGTACCCACTTCTCAGTGTGGCAGTTTTGAACATCATCAGTGCAATATCTTTCGCTGTAGCATCTTCCGTATCAACCTCAACACGCCTCAACAGCTCCTTAATCAGTGGATGCCTGGGGTTAATTTCCAAAGTCTTCTTTTGGTTTAAGTAGTAAGTTTTCTGCGGATCATCAGCCTTTTGATGTGCATTGGAAATTGCCAGTCTCTCCATATTCCCAGTCCAACCGAACATGCTAGCCACCAGCGCACAGGGGGACTCCGTCAATCGTTCAGAAATGAGCACTTTGTTAATGTGATCACTTAAAACAGTATTCAACCACTTCGTTAGCGGTTCAAACGCAGACTTCAACTCCTCCATCTTCTCTTTGCCCTTGTCACTATCATCGAATACAAATCCTTCCTTAGCTACATTCTGGAATTTCTTTCCTTCAAATAAGGGGATAGCCGAAATTGCGTATTCATCAACCGCCTCAGTCAGATAGAGAACTTCGTGTCCCGTTTTGTCCAATCTCTCAACGAACGGCGACTTCTTCACTTCGTCTTCAGAACTTCCAGCAATGTAGAAGATCGCTTTCTGTTTTGGCTTCATTCTGGCAACGTAGTCGTTCAGATTCGTTAGATTCTTTTTCGAGGATTTAAATTGAAGGAGTTTGGAGAGTCTTGCACGATTTTGAGGATCTTCAATCACTCCCAGTTTGATGTTGGTACTGTACTCCTTCCAGAAGGTATCGTAGTCCTCCTTGGGTAGCTTCTTTATCATATCTAGAACCTTCCGGACAAGTTTTTTCTTGATCACTTTGATTAGCTTGTGTTGTTGAAGGTTTTCTCTTGAGACGTTAAGAGGGAGGTCATCTGAGTCAACTATTCCGCGAATGAAAGAGAGGTAGTTTAGCATCATGTCATTGATCTTATCGGTGATGAAGACTCTGCGGACGTAGAGCTTAATATTGTCCGCCTTGGTTCCGTATTTGTTGAAGCTTTCACTTGGTTGAACTTTTGGGATGAAGAGAAGAGCCTTGAAAGAAACTTCGCCTTCAGCAACAAAGTGAACCTTAGCGAGTGGCTCTTGTGTGTCTCCAGTCAGGGTCTTATAGAAGTCGGTGTAGCTAGATTCCGTAACCTGAGAGGGTTTCAGAGTCCATATAGGTTTCGAATCATTTAAGAGTTCCCAGTCCCAGAGGGTTTTTGAGATCGTCTTTTTCTTCTTTTCGGACTCGTCAGATGCTTCTTCAACCTGGAATAATGAAAGAGTTACTATTATAGGACAGAACGATCGTAGCGGTATATTAATTGAACTGTGAAATGATGGCAAACGATTTCAGCTGATTGTTTCAAGTTTTCTTGCATGTGAAGTAATTTTTGAATCTGTAAAACTTGACACCCTCATTTGTTTGCATCAAAGTTATCGGCAAATATGCGATAATTTTAAAGCTCTTCAAGTATTACGATTGAGAACTTTTGATAATTCGACTGGCAATTTTTCATGTTGATATAAAGATGAAAAACAAAAGATTTCCTGGTCGAGTGAGCCCCTCATTGAAACTGACAGATGGATTTTGTCTCACAGTGCAATTCCCTTGGCCGAAATTTGGATGGAAAAATTCTCTTCCGAATACCTCTAGAACTTCAAAATTAATCAAGTATTTTCCTCAAGGTTCCCTGCATACAAACGAACTCGTCTACGAATTAACAGGGAAATCCCTGACAATTGTGAAGCTCTTGGGGTATTACATACGAGAATTTCTAAGATAAAAACGTGAATATCCCGTAAACTAAAATCGGCAAAGTCAAATAATTACAAACCTCAACATCTTCATCCTCATTTTTATCCTTAATATCCTTAATTTCCTCGGTTTTCTCTTCAGATTTCTCGACTTCGTCTTGTTCAACTTCAATGGTCTTGCTGCTCCACAGGTAAATTTTGAAGTTAATGAACTGCGAGTACTTTTTAATCAACTCCCTGATCGTTTCTTGCTCGGAGAAATCATGAGCTTCTTCCTTTAGATGCAGAGAGATTGTTGTTCCTCGTTTCAATGAGTCTCCCCTTGGGTCTTCAACAATACTATAACTACCACTATCAGATTCCCAGATATATTGCTTATCATCATTATGCTTCGTAGTGACAACAATTTTATTTGCAACTAAGAACCCTGAGTAAAACCCTACACCAAATTGTCCGATCATGTCATTCATGTCTTGACCATTCTCTTTGTTCTGCATTTTCCCTAAAAATTCAGCTGTTCCTGACTTGGCAATTGTTCCCAAATTGTTGATGAGATCTGACTTCGTCATTCCAATACCAGAGTCTGTAATGTGGAGGATTTTATTCTCAGAATCTGCTTTTATCCAGATTGCGAGCTCCGGATTTGCATCCAAAACAGTTGTATCAGTCAGGGACAAAAGACGAATCTTGTCAAGGGCGTCTGATGCATTGGAGATCAGTTCTCTGAGGAAGATCTCCTTATTTTGATAGAGGGAGTTGATGATCAACTTCATCATTCTATTGACTTCGGTTTGAAAGGTGAATTTTTCCGCTTTCTCGCGAAGTTGTTGAATCTGCGAGGGGTTCAGCCCATCGATATTGATGGCCTCGCTCTCTCGTTGGACTGCTTCATCATCGGTACGGGACGCCTCGCGGGAGGAACCCAGGTTGTTATCGACGGTGGGGACATCGTCCTCTTCATTAAGTTTCGCTTGTGCTAATCCTGGAATTGAATTGTGATGGTTATTAGTGAAAATTGTCGAAAAATGACAGAATTTCCAAGTTTTTAGGAAATTTTTATGGGTTCGGGGGTTCTCTGGGGTTTTGAGAAGAATTGCATCGGGGAGCGTTGTGTGGACTGCGAAGATCTCTTGATATTTTCAGATGGAATTAAACTTCTGAGATAATCACGTAATGATCACATCAGTTTGATAATGAGTACAGTGGTTACTCCCTAACATTTCGCTTTCCTAATATTTTGAAAGTGTTTTTAATTAATATTGAGGAAATAAACTATTTCAACTGGAATCATTGGAAACAAATTGTTGTTGGACATTTCCTCATCTACAAAAATATTTTCCATTCTCTCTTCACATCCCTTACTCCCAAGTTAATCACTCCCAATTTACAAATTTTGATTGAAAAAACTCCTCGTACTTGTTGCAATAATCTGAAGTTCATCACCCATGTGAGACCTTCATGAAACGAAAAAAAAATTCCACAGATACAAAAAAATTAGTAGAAAACAAACGACAAATATAATGAACTCCGATTAAATTTATCAGTGTTTTCCATTTTATTTTTATTATTCATGATTAAAAATTTTGGAGTAAATTTCAGATCATCTACTCTGATCAGAAAATTCTTCATAATTGCCCTCGAGATTACTTACCAGAAAGAAGTAGAAAAGCAAGTGCAAAATGAATAATGAAATTCTTCATTGTAATTAAATAAACATCGACTGAAACATCTATCGAATTTGTTCTACTTCACACGAGGATTTAACACTTCCTCGGACACGTCTGGCGATCTCTATATACTCAGTATTTTCCGGCAACTGACGGCGATGTTTTATGCTACGGCGTGTCAGATTGAGATGTAAACGTGTCGATTGCCTGGTAACCAATGGGACACGACCACGCAGTCTGCGTGGACCAATAAAAACCCCTCTGGTGGATTTCACACTCCAAATGGCGGAATTCTATTGGTACAGACCATATTCGTGGAAAGTGCAGATAAACAAAAATGGATTTTTTTTTTGTAAAAAACACAAATTGTTAATGTTCATTTTCGATTACGGTCAAGAGCTTACTATTGAATAATTCATCAAATAATCAAATAATAGGGAGTTTTTCGGCCAATTCACGAACTAATGGTGTGAGGTCGCCCACAACTTTTCAATGGATCAGACACAGAGAGCATGTATATGATCATCTTTGTTCAATGCCTTTGGTAAATGGAGTGGGTGCGCCTCTGCTGCCATCTGTTTCAATTTTGCAAAAATTCCCAATTTCAAAGAGGTGTAGAAGATGGGCTTCTTTGCTAAAAGATCTTCCGCCGCTTCAAATTATCTGAGGGCGGATTCATTCAATTATTTTGAGTGCGTTTCGGAATCAACTACCGTAGCTGCAGTCAAGCAAAATTGGATAGGGTTGCAGTACTGTTACTGCGATTACCTCGATTGCGAACCGGGCCCATTATGAACAATTAGAAATGAGTAGTAGTCATTTAAAAACCAAACTTCGNGTAGGCAAATAATAGACAATGATTGACTATAAAAATAATTTGATAGATTGAATTTTTTTTTAAATGAATTTTCAAAAAATTGTCATTAAAGATAGCCCCTCTTTTTTTAAAATTTAATGATAGAAACTTCTACTTGGGCTCATTCTACTGTTAATATACTACCTATAAACTCTGTCAATTGGGGACGCTAAGGTATGATACAGGGAGGTATGGTGAAGCTTTGATGTCGCCGACACCGAAACAGGGGACAAGTTCCAACGNTTACCTCGATTGCGAACCGGGCCCATTATGAACAATTAGAAATGAGTAGTAGTCATTTAAAAACCAAACTTCGAAATACTCAAGAGGGTCAATTGGCCTACATGAATATAATTTTTTTTCTGTACTGCTTCTCACGATTTCTCGTCTGGGAATTGGTATTGCATACTTCGCAAACTCGAAAACTTGAAAATCACTAGAAAAAAATCTTGTCCCCCGCTTTCGCCTTATAACGTTTAAATGTTTATAGATTGTTAAAAAATGACCATTCACATGGAATGAATTACACATTTTTCTGGAAATGATTAATTCCAGAAAAAAATATCATAAGATCTTTTTTGTGGCTGGATAAATTTCTGACAAAGACAGTCTTTTGACATTTTCTCTCAGAATTCCCGCCGGGACTGCTGCTGCCGAGTTGCCGGCAGCTCTAAAAAGTTAGCCCCTAATTATTAAAAATTAATTATTTTGACCGTGGGAATCCATTGATAGGCGAATGATAGACAATGATTGACTATAAAAATAATTTGATAGATTGAATTAAAAAAAAATGAATTTTCAACAAATTGTCATTAAAGACAGCCCCTCTTTTTTTTAAATTTAATGATAGAAACTTCTACTTGGGCTCAATCTACGCGGAATGATTTGATAGACATTGATAGACACTGAATCAAAGTCTCGCCCGGCCGTCAGATTCGACCGTGGCGCCATCCCTCCGTTGGAGTGATACTATTTTTGGCTTGGGATCGCCTGAACCCCGAGATCTGAGCCTCTACTTTAGTCTATCCTCTTTGGTGGTCGAGGCGGAACACGTGAACCCTTGCAGGTTATGTTGAAGTTTATATTTTCCATGAAAAGTTGCCGAGTTCATGGATATTAGTTGTAAATATTTTGAAGAGCATACAAGGAAATGGCGAAGTTTTGTTTAAGTAAGTTAATCAATATTGCATCAATTATTGAGTGAATATGTTTGAAAACGGGAGCATTGTTGATAAATTATTGTTAACCCCTCACGTACTGGGTCGATGCATGGTATCGACCCATGGGAATGTGAACGATTGTTATCAAAATTGATTACTTTCAAATCTATGGAAAATAACTTTATCAGATAAACAAAATTGGAAACCGGAATACTGCACCTTCCATTAGGTACCGAATTCATAATTTTCCATTCATTCGAAATAATCGAAGTCGAGTCGTATTGAGCACACACTTCGCTTGATAATAGAAGGGTCCGGCCTCGAGGAGTTAAAATTAAATATTTTTGAGGGGTTTCTATTGATTTTGTTACACGATCAGAAAATTTGCAATAATTTATTATGTCAACTTCTTGAGTTGTATGAGATTATCATACTAATCATTGTCATTACAGAGAAGGGGAGTAAAAGGGTTGAGGCTCGTAAGAGGTACAAGATTGAGAAGAAAGTGCGGGAGCATAACAGGAAGAAGCGGAAGGAAGCGAAAAACTCGAAGAGTAATGAGAAAATTTTGTTTTGATTCTCGTTAATTGTTGTTGTTGGATGATCTCAGCACTAAATGATGTTAGAAAGAAGCTATGAACAGAGCTTCTTGGTATAAAATGTTTCAAGCTACACGAAAGCTTTTTTGATATTTATTTGTAAAACCACTCAATTTTCTGGATAATCACCTATATTTATAATTTAAATATCAATAAATTGATAATTAAATATCCCCTTCCACTGTTGAATTATGCCATTAATGACTGATGCTAAAAAAAAATCATCGAGACATTTTTTGTAGCCAAGAACATTTCCTATAGAGAAGGATTGTTGAAGCTTCTTCTTGGAATCATTGATGCTGCAGATAATTTTCTGATTAATCATCACAATTCGTTTAACTTCACTGCAAAATTCACCCATCTCATTAAACACTGAATTCAAAAAATGTTTTGCAGAGAAGCCAAAAATGATGAAGATTCCCAATCAGTGCCCCTTCAAAGAAGAAATCCTTCAGGAAGTCGAAGTCCTGAAGAAGCAAAATGCGTTGGAAAAGGAAAAACGTCGCGATGCAGCCCAAGAAGCCAAGAAGGCCAAGCTCACCCACACAAATCTCCACACTTTAGTGTCTTCCGCAGAAGCTAAGGCCCAAGCCCACAATCCCGAAACCCATTGCACCTCTTCCACCTCTCCAACCCCCCATGTCCTCCGAGAAGAAAATTCTCTGAAAGCCTATTACAAGGAATTCAAAAAGGTTCTGGACTCTGCAGATGTCATTCTGGAAGTCGTCGACGCTCGAGATCCCCTTGGAACTCGGTGCAAACAGGTGGAAGAGGAAGTTCTATCAAAGGCCAACAAGAAGCTTGTGATAGTCCTCAACAAAGCTGATTTGGTTCCGAGAGAGAATTTAGATGGATGGTTGAAGTATTTACGAGGGAGTTTACCTGCAGTTGCGTTCAAAGCCTCTACACAAGAGCAATCGAAGAAGATAGGACGAAGAAAATTAGGGTTTAAACGAGAGGATATGATTCAGAATAGTACTTGCTTTGGTGCTGAGCTATTATTATCTCTGCTTGGAAATTACTGCAGAAATGCTGGGGGAGTTAAACAGAGTATCAGAGTGGGTATCGTAGGCCTTCCTAACGTTGGCAAGTCCAGCATCATAAATTCCTTGAAGAGGAGCAAGGCTTGTAATGTTGGAAGTACTCCCGGAATCACAAAAACAATGCAAACTGTTCAGTTAGATTCGAAAATTAAGTTGTTGGACTCTCCTGGGATTGTTTTTGCTGATGGAGGGGACGGAGATGATTTTTCTGTTGCTTTGAAGAACGCTGTGAAGATTCAGGCTCTAAAGGATCCGTTCACTCCAGCCACTGCAATTCTGAAAAGAATCTCGAAGAAGCAGATTATGGAACTGTATGACATGCATGATTTCGAGACTCCTGAAGAGTTTTTTGCAAAAAAGGCTGAGAGAATGGGAATGTTCAAAAAGGGGGGAGTGGCTGATGTCACCGCGGCAGCGAGGAGTGTACTGAATGACTGGAATTCTGGAAAGATTAGGTGAGTCGGTTTTTGGAAATCCTTTTTTGTAGGAATTTAAATTTTATGATAGTAATGACATATTGTAGTGTCCAACATATTATTATTCACTTAGTTTATTACTAGATCATCGGGTGTTTACTGATTTGAGCATGACCAATAACGTTAAAATCATTTTCTTTCATGTCAAATTTTTTCACAAAAGTTTTTTCACCATAACGTTCATGATTCATCTAATTTTATCATATACATTTTTCTTGGATCGACGCCTTACGTATATCTATTTTACGTCAGAAAAAAAGCGCACATTTATTTAGTGAAAATGAATGATTTATTCACCGTAAATCGATTCAGTTTTCTAATGATTGTTCTGCTCATAACGAATCTAGTCATATATTCCTTTTGCTTTATGTTTCCATCTTTCAAGGTATTACACAGTTCCTCCAGAGTTACCATCTGGGCAAGTATCAGCTTCAATTATAACGAAAGACTGCGAAGAGTTCGATATCGAAAAATTTGCATCAGAAGAAAAGATGATGCTGGATAATGTAACTGAGGACGCTTCTACAAGGATTCCAGTTATTGATCCCCTGATTATTGATAGTACAGGTCCAGTAGATTCAGCAATGGAGATTGAAGTAAAAAAGAAAGAATTCAAGCTCCAAAAACTGAATGAAAGACGAAATACACAATTAGCAAACGAAGCAAAAAAAGATTACAGTTCGAGGAAGAAGAAGGTGGAGCCAGTATTTGAGATCGAGGGGAATCAAAAACTGAATAAACTCAATAAACTTCATTTCAAAAAACAGAAAAAGGAGAAGGTCAAGAGGGAGAAGGCGGCAGGAAAATTGGCAGATCAGTTTGGAGCTGTCGATTTGGCTACTGGAGATGAATATAATTTCGAAACTGATTTCAATATGTGAGCAAGATCGAGACAGATTTATTGTAAAGCAATGATAAATAAAGTTCACAAAGTGTTTCAAAACTCGAGGGAATTATTTTGAGACTAAATGGGGATGTGGGGTATGTGGAGACCGTTTATGTGGTATAATAGAGATCTATGATACCTTACATTAGTCTAATTACATTTAATCCTGAGATGACCACTAATTCACCTCTCTCACACACTCACACCTGAGGACTACACATACACCTCAGGTGTCGTAATCACTCCCGCTAGAACAAAAAAGGTGACACCAATTTTTTAATAGAGGATTTTCAAAATTTTTGAAATTTTCTACCCTGGACAAATTTTAAAAAATCCCCCCCCCCCCCTTTTTTTCAATAAAAATTCGTTATCTCCCTTAGTTTCGGAGATATTTTTGAAAAACCCCAACGATAAGGCATCCTTTCACAAAACACCTCTCTTTGCAAAACCCCCACCTTTTACAAGCTCTCTTCGGATACCACTACTCCTCTTTTTGCAAAATTCCCGTTCGAAAAAATTTTTTAGATTAAAAAAAATATTTTTTCTAAAAATTTTTTAGATTTAAAAAAATATTTTTTCTAAAAAATTCCCTATCTTTTCTCTTAAATTTTTCACAATACATATGGATGAGAGTAATTTTAGTTTAGATTCTTATCTTCTCACCGACAGACCGATCACGAGCTTTACTTTTTAGAACTTTTCCATACAGTTTGATATAGTGATAACCCCATTTTATCCACTGACCTGCGTCGACGGTGATAAGGTCAGGGTACTTTTGGACACACAAACGGAGATGACTAATAAAATAATCGAAAAGGGATGTGTAGAATTTAGTCTAAGTACGAAGACTCGTTAATTCGTTCACAATAATATTTCAATTCTCTCACGTGAATAATATAGGGTAAAATAATGGTTGGATCACCGTCCGGGAGATAAAAGTAGGAAAAATGTCACTGTGAGGGAAGAAACGACCACGGGGGATTTCACTCAACTTCTATAACTCATCCTTCCATTTAGTGTGGGCAGGCTGTATTTCTTCGGCGGGGGCATCCGAAGTTATTCGGGCTCTGGTTCTAGTTCTAGGCGTTCTTGGTCTTCGGAATCCGGCAATCAGCAGCCTCTACTTTGGTGTACGGAAAGGGGGTGGGGGACAGCGGGGGAATCTGAGGTAACCAATGGTAGCGGTTTAGGGGGAAAATGTGTGGTGCTCGAATCACATCGTCACAGAATCTAGCAAACTTGGGCAATAAAAAAGGACTTGTTCATTTTTTCTATATAACGCATATTTATCGAGTTATGATGCTGTAAACAATTACCTAATGACATATTAAATTGTTTTTTGCATAGCTTGTATAAAAAAAAAATTTCCTGGCGTTTACAGACTTTTCTTGATCTCTTATGGAACATATTCAAAACCCAGGAAAAAAAATATTGCCCTATTGAAATAGTGTGGAATGCCTCGTACGTGAATACAGGTAACAAACGTTATATCTGCTCAACATTTTGCTATAGTAGATTCCATACGAGTAAATTGCCTACAACTGAGGTAAATGTTGTCACTCCTCACCGGACATTTTGCCGAGTCACATCAGACACACCCGGCATATTCCGCACCCACCTGCGTTATCATTTCCTTGAAATCATCTCTGAAGTTTCCATCAGCTTCACTCATTATCTACCGTTTTTTGTCAAAGTTATCAACCTGCTGTGAAACCGATCTCGGTGAGTCCTTCATTAATTTTTGAATTCGCCTTTATCAGTCAATAAATAATGATTCCCTTCGCCTACTAATAAAACAAAGTAGATTATTTTTCGTGAGAAATAAAAGTTCACAAAAAAATTATTTCAAGCTTGAACTGTAATTGCATTCGTATTTCACGTACAGTGTATGATATTGATAGATAAAAAAGGGTATCATCGACGAATGCGAGTTAATAATCCAGACCGAAGGCGAAGATTTTAATAACCTTGGTCCAAGAATCCCTTTTTTACTCGGTATTATCAGCCCAAAAACTGTTCTTTTTGCTGAGCGTAACAAGTTAAAACATGAGATATCACCGCAGGGAAATATCACATTTTTTAATCTCAGTATTCTGCAAATATCTTAAAAACCCATTAAATCGAGCGAAAATTATCAGTAGACATTTATTTTAAGAAATAAAATTTACATAGTGCCGGTTACAATAAGCCCTGCTTACGAAATAAATTCTGCGAATAAATTTACGTCTCTTCGATATATGAAAAATCATTAATGGAATTCACAGCAGAGCTGACATCCCAACTCCACCATGCTATGTCATTATCAATGTGATTGAACAAAGTAAAAGATGCCTCGCAGCAGTAATTTTATTTTATGAAAACCAAAATTCCAATGAAAGTCTCAATTTCGCCTCGCAGGCCCCTATTACAAACTAACTTATTCCGCATTTCTAAATGGACGCACAACTTCGAAAAATTCTACTCTCATTTGACGCTTGACGGCATCACAATTGCACTGTCGCATATATTTTATCCACGGGAACTATAAAATGGAGCATAAACTTGAAGAGCGAGTGATATACTGAAACATAAAAATATCATTGATGATTGTTCAGACTAGGGGACCAGAGAGTTTGTATATGTACTCTACAGAATGGATGTAAACGAGTTGAGAACGATCGATTGGCCGATGATTTATGCATGCTAGCCTTAGTTGAATACATAGGGCATTCGCGGCTGTTTCTACCTCCTCCCTAGATCGATTACGGATACATTGGGTTACATCACTGTATTTCCATGTTACACGCGACGACTAATGTTTCATTATTTATTTCTGTTTTTAATGCAGATAACGTAGGAAAATAAGAAATAAATTAAATATTTTGATAATGAGCGGCTTCGGCAGCAGATTCCACTACACATGTTTCCGATAGGGAATCTTCTTTTCGTGTCACGGGACCTGAAAAACCCCATTTTCGTGGCGCTGCGCGCCAAGAAATTGGCGTTTTCCAGGTCCCTCGACACGAAAATTAATATACACACCTCACCATGGAAAACATATCACCGTCCCCCACGTGCAAGATTCCGAGCCGAAGGCGAGGATGGCAAGCACGTGGGGGAGGGTGATATGTTTTCCAAGGCTCGGGCATGTAATGTACTATTTCGTGTCACGGGACCTGAAATAGTATATTTCATTACGAGTGCGGAAAGAAGTTTTTTAGCTCGTGGGAGGTTTATAGCACGAGCCAAAGGCGGGGCCTTCGGCTCGGAAGGTAATCTTGCACGTGGGGGACGGTGATCTGTTTTTCAAGGCTCGGGCATGTAATGTACTATTTCCGTCCTGATCTTCTCTTTTCCTCGTCCGGGGATTGACTTAAGATTATTTCCATCCTAAATCTTATATATGATGAAAAAAGAATTAAAATAGGTAAATGAATATATATATGGTCATAAGGGTCCCAAGGGTCTCACGGTACACCAAGGCTACAAGGATCAAGAGGGTCAAAATCCCTCATTGGATTATAAGTTTATATGTATATTGTCAAGGTAATTCAGTGATACAGAATATTGTACACATTTCATAATCGATTCTCCAAATAATTTTTTATTAAGAAAATAATGATTTTTGTTACTATCATCAATATCATGAACATTTGTTTATGATGAGCAGTATCATGGAAAATTTTATATTCAAGCCTCGGGTTTTTCCATTCATAATACGAGAACAACATTGCTATTGTCCGATGCTTCAGCTTCTGTTTTTCCGGGCACTTCGCTGTATGATCGTCAGACAAATGCGAGATTAGATCGTTGCAATAATAATCAAAATAACAACCCTCAACTAAACATTTTCAATTTTTTTTTAACAGACAATAAAGAACATGTTTCATAGACCGGTGAGCGCTACGACGAGACAGGAGGCTGAAATGGTGAATTGGGCCCAGAGGGCTATTCATGGGGCAACGGATTCCATTGAAAAACTTCGGCTTCTCTGTCTCGCACGAGGAGCAAACGGTATTCTCGGGTTAGCCAGGTGAGAACTGCGAATATATTACATACATTTAAAAAAAGGATTCATGGCGACATGTATAAAACAGACTGGGATAACCAAAATGAATAAGAAGACTAGAGAGTTACCCACTTCTTTATTCATCATTCACAGATTTTATTTTGCAAATATCTCCGAAATATCCCACGTAGAGTACGTCAGGGAAAAACGTACTAAGTGTGGTATAAGCTCGAGCCTGGCCGGTTCTGACGCCCAAGCTTGGTCGCAGGTTTGGCCATCCCAGGCAACCAGTGCTTGAGCCTGGGCGGAAGGACGAGTGAGCGATTTTTGGCTAACAAACCTGGTCCAGCGTTGGTTCCAACATTAGAATTTCGAAGTTCGATAACCAAACTCCCGCTAATAGCGCTTGAAGTTTGGCCATTAATTCTCGGCCCCTAGATTAAGTTGACTAGAACACCTATTTGAATTAAAAAAATTTCCCGCAATAAAGGGCGTTTTGAAGCGTCATCTGTGAACTATCAAACCACTCAAGTCCGATTGTGGTCCGATCAACACAACCTGAAAAAACACTAAAAATGGCGTTCGACAAGCAGCACTTGAGACACTCCCTTTCACCTTCCAACTTGGAAAAACTGCTGCGGAAGCACCAGAAATGATTTGTTCGGCCTTGGAAGAGAGTGCCGTATCTTATAACACATGTAAAAAGTGGTTTAAAAAATTTTGGGATGGAAATTTTGGTGTCTAGGATGAAGAACGTCCTGGGCAATCAAAAAAAAGTTGAGGACGAGGAGTGGAACAATCTACTCAATGAGAATCCCTGTCAAACACAACAGGAGTTTGCTGATACTCTCGGATTGACTCCATCAGCTATTTCGAGGCGTTTAAAGAGAATTGGGAGAATACAGAAGGAAGGTTGTTGGGTGCCCCATCATCTTACCTCAGAAAACAAAGGTCGACGCTGTGATCTATTATGAGATGATTGAACAGGGTGAAATCGTGCCTGCTAAGCGTTATCAGGACCAACTGGTGAAATTGAGTGATGCTATTGAGGAAAAGAGACCTTTTACTGATAGTGGTACGAGGCAAGTTATTTTGCTGCAGGTCAACGCGCGGCCACACACAGCAAAAGAAACCCTGAAAGTTATCTCCACGTTGGCCTGGGACATTCTCCCACATGCCGCGTATTCTCCAGACCTTGCGCCTTCTGACTATCACCTTTTTCGCGCGCTACAACATCACCTGGTGGATACCCATTTCCAATCTCCTGAAGAAGTCCGGCAGAGCATTGATGACTTCATCCAGTCAAAACCTCCATCTTTTTTCCGAGCCGGAATCCGACAATTGCCCGATAGATGAGAGAAATGCGTGGAAAGTGACGGCGGTTATTTTCAAGATTAGATCTGTATTCATTTTTTTATAAATAAATGTCAAAATTGTCAAAAAAGGCCGAGAATTAAGTACATACATCTAATATTTAATTACTTCTATTTCAATCACTCCTATGATCTCTATATAATTAAGTAATTATCTGTTGAGCGTGGCCAACAACTGTCGACCAACGCTTGGCCAAAATCTGCATCCAAACCTGGCTCCATATTATCAATGCAGATTTCAACCAGGTGAGCTGGGAGCTCCAGAGCCTGATCGCACAAGCGTGGCCCATTTCGCATTCCTTACCTGGAAATTTGAGGGTTTAGAAAAAAAGAATAACAAGATATTCTTTTTGTGCAAAATTAAATGCCCAAAATATCTCCCCTCCCAAGATATTTGCGAAATAGTTTGCGGAATCATTGTGGGCCATGGTCCCAACATCTGATAGCAAGCATGAAAAAATTCAATAGAAAACCTAGCGAATTCGCTAGAAAATTCTATTGCATGAGGCTTCTATAGGATTTCTATTGGAATTCAATTGAAAAATTCTACTTGTTTTTGTGCTGATTCAATTGTATATTTGATAGCGAAAAGTCAATATATTTTGAATTTTTCTCTTGAGATTTTTTCTGTGACAATTATTGGGCACAAATTTTTTTCACTGGATTTTGTTTTGTTTTGCCTTACAGAATCCGAGTGGAAAAAATTTAGAAAATTGATGCCTAAGCATTCATATAGAAAAAATCTCAAGAGAAAAATTCAAATCGAAATTTGAAATCTATTGACTTTTTCTTATCGAATATCTGATAGAATTAGCGCAAAAAAACAATAGAATTCCAGTAGATTTTTCTAGTGAATTTGCTAGGTTTTCTATTGAATTATTCATACGTGAGATCGAATCCATTAGTATATATTTAAATGATTGAAATAAAACAATGATTTTTAAGGGTCTTTCGTCGAATGGATGAGGACGGTAATAAACAATTGAGCAAAGAGGAGCTAATAGATGGTCTCACTGAAGTGGGCTTCGAACTTAATGAGGGTGAGATCGATGAGATAATGAGTAAACTGGATGTAGATGGAAATGGAAGCGTGGACCTCAACGAATTCATTACAGCTGTTCGTGTAAGTTTTATGGACAAAACTAATTATCATGACATCGTTGAATTCTATGAATGTTATATCAACGAATATTTCAAACCATATCATTTTACAAATATTCTGGAAGAATTTATGAAAATTAATCAAGAAACCTCTTTTGTGGAAAATTTAATGGGGTAGAAAGTACAGATCTCTTGATCGGGTTTCTTTAGCCGCTCACTTTACAAGATATTTGCAAAATATCATGTATCATATGAGTAAATTTTGAAGATGTTTTGCCTCTCACAGCATTATCAAAAGGATTGATTCGTCGTTCCATTTTAGCCACCTATGTCAGAAAATCGACGGAAAGTAGTGGAGCAAGCCTTTCAAAAGCTCGATAAAACTGGTGATGGTGAGATAACCGTTGAGGATCTTCGTGGTGTCTACAATGTAAAGTGCCATCCTCTTTACATTAGTGGGGAACAGAGTGAAGAGAGTATAATGAGAAAATTTCTTGAGAATTTTGAACAAGATGCAACCAAAGATGGCATTGTGAGTAAGGAAGAGAAATTACCCAAGGATCTCATGGATGTAGCATTTTCCAAGAAAATTTTAAAGAACTTTTCTTGTTGTTCACAAAATTCTCCAAAAAAGTAGGAAAATGATTTTAATTACAGGTAACTGAAGAGGAATTCAAAAATTATTACAGTGCGATCAGTGCAAGTATCGACCACGATGCCTACTTCGATCTCATGATTCGCAATGCCTACAAGCTGTAATGCAGCCAATATCATCGCTTTTTCTTCAACTAAAGCCATATGGATGAACCCTCTTCGAGTATACATTGAAGCATTAAGGCCCTACAAGTATATGTGTATCGATATAAAATAGCGGTGAAATTTGCCCCCCCCCCCCCCCCNCCCCCCCGTGGGCAAACTCCATTTAATTTTTGATGATGGAGATGGCTCTTTTAATGGCAACAAATTTCGTAATATCAGCAGTAGCCGCTTGAGACGCGATGTGACTCTCATTTTTTAAGGAATGATAACGGGAGATATCATGTATGAAGCCAAAACAAAGGGATGAGTTCCGGTCAAATTTAGACTTGAAAAGTATCGGTGCGACAGCGCCGTGCAGTGTCCGGTAGTACATGTCCCCGTTTTAGTGTTGTCTCCCTATTAAGGATAATTTATATGAGGATCGGGCGAGGAGGAAATATAGGAGGTAAGGCGGAGGGGTTTCTATTGTTTTCCTGCAGAAAACCACTCGCTGAACAAAATGGTATATTTCCCACCAAGGGCGTTCAATTGAAGGCCCGAGTTGTAGACCCGAGTTTGTAGCAGCGATGTCAGACAAGATATGAATGTTTTTTTGGGCTCAAATGAAAAAAATAAAAATTTGGAATATCTATACATGAGGGGCTAATTGATCGGATCTCCTAATGGGTTACCTTGCGTCCCTTGTCACGTTGCGTCCCTAGCGGTCGTCAAGTAAACTTCAACATCTGTCGACTATATGTATAGCTTTCTCTCGTCAGTGGCCACTATAAGAGTTTCTAGATCTATAACTGACCTGTATAAGACCCTGCTACGCGCCAATAAATGGGATAAATGAGATGAAATTAACGTAAAAAAATTAGTTTTTCATGTAGGTTGTGGTTGGAGTTGTTTTGAATTTTTTCATCGATCATCATAATCATCAGCAACAAATCAATTGACTTTTTCCTCGTCTCGCAGATGTGTCGGTAAAAATTGTGAAATAATGAATTATTTTATGATGAAGATTATTACTCAAACATATATTTTGACGCATTTGAAAAATAATCAAAAAACGCTTCTTTGCAAAATTTCCTCAACTTAAGATACGGTCTTTTGACGTTTCACTGAAAAATTATCAATTGACGTTTTTGAAAATTATCTTTCACTAATTCAATGCAGAACTCAATTTCAGGCGATTCAAGAGTTATGAAAATAGTTCATCTACTTGAATATCTAACTGAAAATCTTCATCAATACGGATTTCCGACATTTAAATTAAACGGAAGATGATCGATGACAGCAATAAAATATTGGGATGAGTTATAATGGAAACTGCACTGCTGGGCACTTCTTCGGAGATTGATCTTTCAACTTTGGGTTTCAAAAGTCCTTCACAGGGTGTTTTACGTTTCACGAAGGTCATTAAGGAATCCATCAAGTTTCCAGGCGTTGGATCCTCGCATTTTTCTAATTCTTTGACGATGCAAGCTTGAGTGTTCGATGCATCGCTGAAAAAGTCGAAAGAATTACTGAGAATATCAAAATATCTATTAAAATATAATATAAAAATGATATCTATTGGAAACACGCTGCGTGTTTTTGATAAAGGATTGGCTCATTACTTCTTCCTCGTGAGTAAGGAGCCATTCAAATTTCAATATGATTTCTGCAGTATTATGGGAGAGGTCAGACTGGGTTAGACCATAAAAGAAAGACAGAAAATACTCCACGCTATAATTACAGGAATAACCTATAGGGCATTGCCATGCCTCTAATGTATTTTAACATCGCTTCAATAATTAGGAAAACATCCAATAAAAATAATGTATTAACTTGATAATTGAGAATTTTCGTGTTCAGGGATTGCATCAAGGCTTGATAACAAACTTTTCCACTCCCCCCTTTGAAAAATACAGACGAAGCACTTTAATCAATGAATGTCTTGTTTCTAAAAAATTAGATATTCAATTGAAATCCATGTTCGCCAATACAACAAGTTTCCATAAGCTGCAATATTGTTTGACATTTTATTTATATTTTCCCCATTTCTTTACCTGCATGTTTGGGCATCAAATGTAAGAGTTGGAATTTTTTCGAATATCGGCATTCCAGGCTTAGTATCATTAGTTCGGATGTATTTGCTGTATGTTGCGTTTATGCATTTCGCTACATCAATGTACCTCTGCTGGAAGCATTCCTTGCCACCAGAGCCGATAAACACTAAAACGATAATTCAAAACATTTTAAATCGGTGTAAAAATCTGTAATTCACATCCCGCAAGTTATTAGTCTAAGTATACACGAAGAAGTAAAAATATAATGAAAATTCCGGTGGAGCAATATATGATAAAATGGGATCGTTTCGACTCAATCGACCAAATGCAGTTGCCAGCAAATCATGTTATCGGGCTAACACAGTCATTTTTCTTATATTTTTTTCCATGTCGTGAAAATCAATGGAAGCAGGTAAAATAAGAGCATTCCAAAAAGAATTTATAACGCCGAAAAATTCCCGAAAATCTCAATTCTATTGAAATAGTTTTAAATAATCGAATTTCCCACTAGTCAATTAGGTGATCGGAAAAATATATTATAATTACTAATTCGAAGTCATGAAAGACAAGTATATTGGTGATTGTACCTTGCCGTTTGCCATAGGTATTATTATAAACAATTTGATTGTTTAAATTGTTGTAACATCGAATCTGTGAGAGTTTTCGAAAACATCGTTCAATAAAAAATTTTTCTTCCATAAAAATACATATTTTTCGTTTTATGACTTTTTTTGGAGGTGGGAACGAGACCCGTGGCTTTTCAGGGTGTTTATTCTCCGGTTGTATGAACATAATTTCACATGCGAAAACCAAGATTTCACAGATCTCATGTAGGAACGTCGATTGCTGCACCAGAGATCTCTATTTCACATATGACTATTTTTCGCCGTCGAATGTCAATATTTACGTACCATTTCGTCCATTATGATTCACGCACACAGTGGATATTTCAGTAAATTATCCATTTTCGCAAACCATAATAATAGCCGCACTTTTTCTGAAATTAATTAACGCAAAATGAAGGTGTTCATACACACATGCTGGAGGTCAAGTATTCTCGTACGAATCTTCACATGTGTGAATGCCACTGGGAAACAAGATCCGTCGAAGAAAAATGCAGCAATAGTTGGCTCGAATTGCTGATGCTGTTGAATCTGTAGACCATCTCTCGGCGTCCCATCCGCGGTCAAATGTCGGTTGAAAGTCAAACGGGTCGGAGGTTTTCATAAAAGGTGAAAGGATTGCTTCACTTTTTGAAAATGGCAACTTTTCTGCTATACCATCAGAACCAAAAATCCGATTGTGGGACCGCGTACAGATAAAGTTAAGGACCACAATTTAGAAGGTTCGGAAGAATGGCAAGAATGCTACAGAAAAATGGTTAGCAGTACACGGAGAAAAAAATACATCGTAATTTTGTGAGAATCCTTCCAAAAATTAGTGTGCTGTTCACCAACGCTGGGACATAACAGGGAGTCATCGGAGAATTCGCATGTGGTACACTAATTTTTACGGGAATCCCCCGAAAAAGTGGCCACGACCCCATGTTATGTCCCGGCGTTGGGGGACAGCACACTAATTTTTGGGAGATTTTTTTCTCAGTGTAGTCCTCATCGTGGATTATTAAAGAAACTACATAAATAGCGGATTTCGAGTGTTTGATGCCAGTTTTGCATCCAGAAGAGAATGGAAGTCTACAACGAGATTTTCTCGTTACGGGTAAAAAGTTTACCCATAACAGAAAACCATAATTCAAATATAGTGCGTGTGAAGGAAAAAGTAGTTAGTGACATCTACTGCCAGGTGAAGAAGCAGAGTATAAGATAAGAGTGCCATAAAGCGGCTAGGGAAGCCAATAGACCACTGAAATAATGTCAAGAGGCGTGGTTTGGGTGACACCAAACATTATTATTAGGTTGTCGATATGCTTTTGCTATATTTAGAAATCCGTCCAGCTGTGTTTGGGGAAAAGAGCCGATGTACAAGCTTTCCAACTTAGCGATTCTAAAGGCCCTACCGACTTAGACTAGGGACCAACGGCTAGGTGAGGGGATTAACCTCCCCTCGATGCCTGTCGAGCTGATTGGTGGTAGTGGGTTAATCGATGACACACCGCCGCTGAGATGTTCAGACTAGAAGAGAAGGCGCTAGGAGATTTCGAGGCACTCGGTGAGAGACGCCGAAGTCGAGTGGATGAATTATGGGAACTCGATGGCGGTTGCAACTGGCATTAATCCATAGTGGATTACGTAGGTGCGTTGTGAGAATAAGATTTGAAACAGCGAGGGAATGGGACGCGTAAGCGTCCCATACATAATGAATGGGTCACTCTACCCACTCTACCGTTTCATGCTGATGCTGGCTCGGCATTGTGAATCCCACCACTAGAAATCCTCGGAGTGGACTAGTTTGCGTCCGAGACTGGTTTCCGTCAGACATTCCGTCGAAGTTTGGCTGGCCCTCAACATATTGAGCGATAGAGAAGGTTCCAAAATAGCTTGGGATCTCTGCTGGTGAAGAACCAGTAAAAATCCCTTACAACTGAAACAGCTAGACCGAGATACCGCAAGCTAGTGAACATCCACGCTCTTCATGCTCGCGGTTATATGTGTAACTGAAGTGTCTAAAAAATTCTAGTAGTTTTGAGAAAAATATGATTCCCGGGATTCATAAAGGAAACAAATTATTTCCAACAGATGAATTATTTTTTCCCGTATTGAATGAAATGTTCCGTTGCTCGACGCTGCTGGAAACATACTAAACGCGTCTGGGCAGAGTGGGTCAATTAGGCAACGCTGAAATCTAAATATTTGGGAATTCACAGCGGTGAATTCTCACGGAGATGCCAAAGTTACGGTTTCGCGTATGGCCACCAAACAAGGATTAATTGAGATTAATATGGAGGGAATAATTAATTTAACTGTTCAACTCACAAGCAATTCTATCTCCTTCTTTATGACAAATGAAGTTTAACACTGAGTGTGTAGCTGCCTTCACAATGGATTCATTGTCCTTCTCGACGGGTTGTAAACAGGGATCCAAAACATCAGTAAAGTTCGAAATGCACTGTTCGAAAATTCCTCTTTTATCACAGTACTTCTTGAAGACAATGTCAAGATCTCCAGTAGGTTTTGCAGCCTCCATCTCCTGGTTGAGAACAGTGAAATTTACGAGGCCCTTCACGCAACTAAAAAGCTCGTCTTTGGCAGCAAAGACTTTATCAAAGGTTCCTGGTCCACCATTTGTATCACATTTCTCTTTCAATAATGTTTTCACCTCATCGATCTTTCCTAGGGCTGCAGTTTGGTTAATGGCCGTGAGATTTATGTCTTCAAGTCCGGGGATACTATTAACTTTGGTTAGAACATCGGGGGGGATCGTTTGGGCTCGACAGAAGTAACAAAACCCTGAAAAAATTATTGACAATTTTCGATCAAATTCTTAATTTTAAAGCTTTAAAAAGGATACCGATATTTTCTGATGTACTATAATCTTGTCAATTTTTTCATTACAGATTGTTTGAAAAATCAGAGATTAGCTCAACAAATTTTTGAATTTACCGGGCGGAGCCCCGGTAGATGAGTAGGGGTTGGGGGGGCGAAGCCCCCTCCCATTCAAGAGAAAAACATTTATTTTATTTATAAACATAATAGAAAAACTGAATCCTTAGAAGTAGATGATAATTTCATGAAAACCGAAAAAAATAGATTTATTTCAGTCAAAAAAAAAGAAAAGTCCTGCGAATTTTTTTTCAAATTTTTCAGTTTTTGCACCCATTAAAATAACTGATTTTTTCCCCCACCCTTAAACCGCCCAATCCCCAAGATTGTAAGGTATAAATTGGGAAAATATGATTTTTTTAGATTAAAATATCGAAAATTCAAATAAATAATCAAAAAAGAATTTTTTTATTATTTTTCCCGGATTCCTGAGGCAAAATACTTCGGGAAACAACCGTCAAATCGGGGCGCCAAAGGAATCGGAATCGTGCCCGGGGAGTGTTCCAACTCACTGTCTATATAGTATCAATCTAAGCCGCCATTTTTTAATCAGCGCTAAGGACGTTGGTCCTCCTACTAATTTTTTTTTAATCCTTATTCGATTTGAAACTATTTTTCTCATAAAAATCCGATTGTGCACAATGTTCATTCATTCAACATTGCTGACTTGGCTTTCTTTTTCATTTCTTTGTATTTTTAAAAAATCTCTACTTCCCTGTAAGAAGCAAACCAAATTTTTTCTTGGCACTGTTTTTTTTACAAAAACATTTTTTTTAATTTTTTTAGGGAGACCATTCATACAAGACAATGCCTTTTCAAGATAAATATATCTTTTATAGCGGGAAGTTTATCAAGTAATATTTTGTCCCTAAGATACACAATTGCTGTCATATCATTATTATTATTTCATTTAAGAATTAATTTTGTGTCTGTGCTCATTGAATATCCGAAATGATGAGCTACTATCCCTCATTCGATTGAAAATGCATTCTCAATTCATGTAAATGAATTCGCTGACGAATGGCGAATTCGATAGCGAATAGTTTGCGTTATGAGTCTATGAATTTCATGGATTAAATATTCACTTTCACAATAAACTACATATAATCTACTTGAAATCTAGAAGAATAATAAGGTTCGTTAAGTTTTTGTAGTTATGGCTATGCGACCTCAGGAAGCAATGAAGCGAGGATCTATTCCGTATATCGATGATTTATATTGACACTGACTTTATGGAAATCGAAATAAAGGCCTATTAACAGAGATTTCACTTATTTCCATAAACAGCTCGATAATTCATCGAATTTTTGCTATAACGAATAATTCTATTACGGATATATTATAATTTAACTTCTAATTTGATTGTCTATAAATTTCTGTTTATCCAAATTCAGTTTACTTTTCTTTCATTCCCATTATTTAATTGACAATAATAATGGTAATGGTAAGAATAGAAAATATGATAATCTCGAAAGAATGAACTTTGTACTCACCGATACAGATAAATACTACAAAAATCATTCCCCTCATGTTGAAACTCTAATCTCTTATCAATTTCGTTTCTCCAGAACTCCTCTAATTTGGTTCTTCAGCAGAATTCAGAGTTCAAACATGTAGTTTCCACCGAACAACGAAACAATGAAATTATTTCATTTAAATCGCAGAATGGAAGCTAGTAACTGGTTTCTCTCATTTACACAGCGGTGAATATTTGAAGGAATTAAAGAGTTGTACGACGAGTTTTGACACTTTTGAAAGTCGAAACTCAATGAGAATGTTTTGGAATGAAATCCTATGTGAGTTCCTTTGGTACAGCTGAATGTGAAGAATTAAAGACTGAAGGTATCTTCTTGTTCTTCCTTGTGTTGATGTGTGCAGCTGGCCTCAAACTCCAGGGTACTTAGCAGTACTCAGCGAGCTTCAGACACTGATTGATTGTCAACAACAACCCGATGTAATGCGGGATCGCGTCTACCCCTCCACCTCGATACGTCGTAACATAGAATCGTCCACGTAACTCCTCCCCACTCTTCACCTTCCTTCTGGACTTTGAAGCCCTGGTGATGATGAAGCCCCGTAGTAACCCTGTTATTATGGGGCTATTACGGGGCTGTTATAATAACAGGGTTACTACGGGGCTGTCATATTTAGGGCTGAAATAACGTTTTTTGTCATTCCTGGCGTAAAGCAGCGATTCACGGACGCTAAACTCCCCGTGAATCATTGCACAAGGCCTATATAGGCTGTCTTCCAGAAGAATATCCGTGGAGTTTTGGAGTGGGGGACAAGCATATGTGTGGAAATTACGTAGAGTGGGGGTACCCTCCGAAGGATAAACTTCTACTAGAAGGCCTATATACTCGCATTGCATTCACGGACGCTACTCGCCTGTGAATCATTGCACACGGCCTAAATACTATATTTCAATACAAGTGAGACAGAATATTCACGAGTGTGAAGTTGGCGGCCCGACGCAAAGCCGGGGGCTGCCAATCACACGAGCTGAATATTCCCGTCTCACATGTGTTGAACAATATTTTTTGACATCAGTGATATTACGTTCAGCGAGTGGCCAAACTGTGCCTTTTTCGTTTATGAGTAAATAAAAGATAAGACTTTTGGGTTACTTTTCGTTTACGAGTAAACGAAATGGCACTTTTCGGCACGAGGTTAACGTAACAGCAGTGTGAAACAACTTTTCCAGCTCATATGATTACAACCCTTGCCTTCGGCTCGGGCTACGAACTCATTGTTGTCGGACGGATTTTGGGTTCTCTATATTTTAGTTCAGGAAACGGGTTCGTTTGCCTGTGGAGCGCTGAAGCACTCTGTTCAGTGAGTGAGGGATATTTGAAATAAGTTGTAAAATACACATTTAGGTCACACAAAATTCTTATATTTCGTTGAACATTGGAAAAAATATCACTCGAGTTTTTATTATTCACAAATGCACCAATCGATAACATTTTACAATTAAACTTTTTTCAAATTTATGATTCTTGATAATTGTTGACAAATCATTTTCTCTTGTACTCATAATTCTTCGCTCGATCTTCCCGGCTCCACGCTTAGACTAGAAGTTGCTAGAAGTGATTATAACTTCTATTTCCGCTTCAACTGTCCGCTCAATCGAGCATCCATGGGGTATCGCCAATCTTAGGTGTAGAGGGGGTCCAAAGAATGGAAAGCGGTGGTTAATGAGGGTCAATGAGGAGGGGTGGGGGTTGTCGCGCGTAAATTTCAGGTAAAGAGGCCCCGCGTCTCAGATAGACCCTTGGGGGATCCCGCGAAGGTAAAATGTTCGGTCTTGGGAACCCTTCTACTCTTTCTGGTGACGTGGCTTGTGACATCAGGCCCAACGCGTTGACAAGAAGCGGAGAGGTTTTTTTGTGGGAAAATTTGAGAATAGGGAAGTGAAGAAGGGGAGGACGTTCTGCCCCGGATTAGGATTTGAGCGAGTGTTCGAATTTAATGAGAGCAATTTTGAGGGTTTTACGATATGGTTTATTGAGGGAGAGCGTAATGAAAAATATTTACAACGGGATTAGGATTTTTCGGGAAGTGGCGAAAACTTTACAAGAGGTGACCATTAAGCAAGGAGCCAGGCGAGATATTTTACGAGATAACAATTCGTGCAAACAGTAAAGATGGGACCTTTACGAAGGGTTTTGGAAATTTCGAATGAATTAGTTTCAAGGGGAAATAGTTCGTGTGTCCATGTGGTATTATTAAACAATAACCATTTGTCGCCGTTTTATTCGGCGGTCGCTCGCTCCAGACACTCGGGAATATTCTACTCCCTATTTAATTTCACTTATTTCTAATTTTTTTCAATGATTATTCGATTCGGTTAAGTGCGCGACATTTCATTCGAGATTTGAATTTTATTGTGCGCCACTAGGGAATGTCTAGGGAAATTACGCACTACGCTGGTTTACACAACAGGCTTTTTTGGAACTTTATTGTGACAATGTTTGTAGCATTAAATGTTGCATATGTATATATGAATAATGTATCAAATCTTCGTAGGATTTTCTAGTTTTCAAGTACAACCCACACTTTCCGGAAACCTGCAATACCTGCGGGTCGGGTTTCTGCGGAACCTACTACATCGACGGGGGCGAAACTAAGCGTGCGACCGCTTCCTTTACCCCCGGAAAAATCTAAGTAGAGCTACCCTCCGCTAGATGGGTAGATACCAACCGATGGATGGCATTAGATGACCTTTTGCGCTAATTGCTGGCGATTGCTGGAAAATTCCAGGTTTTTAGCATCGACTATACTTTTTTTTTCGTGAAGATTTATAAAAAAAATTCCGAAAAATCCGCACAAGTACATTGACACACGCAAACATATTTTCTAAAAACATCATATCTTCACGTTTCATGACATTCTACATCATTTCCATGCAAAATTAGAAGATCGTAAAAATCGACGATTACAAAGCTTCCATTCGCAAGCAAAATGGATCAACTCTTTAAAAAATAGTAATTCCCCGATCTGCAATGAATAAGGACCGAGAAAATGTGAGGGAAATGAATATTTATCACACTCAAAATTCATTTTTGGGTTACAAAATATAATTATTTTAAAATATGATTTCATCTCGGAGAATTCGCACCGTAGTATACGGATTGATGTCGTGGACGGAAACCTTTCTAGACTGAACTATTCTATTGCCCAAGATTACGAAAAAAATACTTTCCCATATTATCACACATTATTATTATCCAGCACAGTTTTCATTAACATCTGTTTTTTAAATCTCCGACTACATCCGAATCCGTTGAATTTTCGAAATCCGCGGGGGAATACCGCTGTTGTAGGCTTTGGCTATTTCTTTGCTCCATTTTCTTAACCAGTCATCTGGGTCATCCTGAAAATTTAAGAGTGGAAAATATTAATATTCACTACATTTCGGTGACATCAAAACTACAAAATCGATCAAAATCGGGAGAGTGTTATTAAAGTCGCTCTACGGAAGCGCAGTGGAAAACTGTTCGGAAAAATCCGATATCTTGACGTAACGAAAATGGAGAGTGGACATACAACGTGAATGGTGTGGGGGCATACACACGTCCATCGAAAACTGTACTGGTTGGTGCATCGTAAAGATGAAAACTAAAAAAGTACCAAGTATGCAAAATTGTGAGCTGAGGCAAGTATGACGTCCTGACGTTACAACATGGAGGTTATCACTTTCAAACCGCCAATACTGTTCGTGAGATTACAATCGTTAAGAACAATTCAAATAAAGTCCAAAATTAAAAATGTATGGATAATATAGGAATGAAGAAAAGCCTCCAATAAAATCTCAAAGATTTCCGTAGTCCGTAACTTAACGTCAAACTTCATGAGGATCACAAGACAATGGTCAAATTTCACGAGAGTCACACCGGAATGATTAAATTTCACGAAGGTTGAATGTTACGAGGGTCAAATATCATAAGGATCACGAAGATCACAAGGAGAAGGTCAAATTTCACGAGGGTTAAGCTTCAGGAGGGTCACAAGGAGATGATCAAATTTCACGAGGGTCACGAAGGTTAAAAGGGGAAGATCATATTTCAGGAGGGTCAACGTTACGAGTCCATGAGGGTCACAAGGGAATGGTCAAATTTTACGAGGATCAAACATCACGAGGGTCATGAAGGTCATAAGGGGAAGGTCAAATTTCGCGAGGGTCAAACTTCACGAGGGTCACAAGGAGATGATCAAATTTCACGAGGGTCACGAAGGTTAAAAGGGGAAGATCATATTTCAGGAGGGTCAACGTTACGAGTCCATGAGGGTCACAAGGGAATGGTCAAATTTTACGAGGATCAAACATCACGAGGGTCATGAAGGTCATAAGGGGAAGGTCAAATTTCGCGAGGGTCAAACTTCACGAGGGTCACAAGGAGATGATCAAATGTCCCGAGGATCAGACATCACGAAAGTCACAAGGGAATGATTAAATTGCCCAAAGGTTGAATATTCCAATGGTCAAACTTCGCAAGGGTTAAACATCACGCGGGTCACAAGGGAATGGTTAAATTTCACCAGGGTCACGAAGGTCACAACGAAAAGATCACATTCCACGAGGGCCAAATAGTCCATACGCTAGCCCTGTTTCTGTATGCACTACGAAATTAAGTAAATGCTTAATGGTTATACCATTATATCATAGAAACGGTTGCGGATAGGGAAAGAGGTTTCAAACAAAATCTGTTTGTCATGTCAAAATACACATTCTTTGCCTTGAAACATTTTTCGGACATGGAAAATAATCTGCAGAATATAAAACAATGAATCATATGAATTCATCACCGACCTTTTTTCCATCAATATACTTCAAGTTAACTTCTTGCTTCTGCTTCATTTTAGCAATATTGAATTCCGCAATTGACTTCGTCAACGGTCCCATGTCGCCCCGTATTGCCGCGTCTAACATTGCTTGTCGTCTCTGCTTAGAATCAGAAGGACCAGTTTTTTCAGTTTCTATTTGTGGCCCTAGTTCAACCAATGTCTGAAAGTCGGCATGTTGGCCCAGTCGGAATCCAACTCCAAGCTTCGAATCAGTTCCTGGACAAAGAATACTTATCTCTATAATTGATCTCTTACGGCCGGTAATCTATGTTTTACGGATAACAGTGGGCTATATGTATTCCTATGAGCTAGGAGTTCACACATAGCTGAATGAAGATTGTTAAATATTCTTATTAAATGAGTCAATAGGTTCTTTATGAAATTTTACAATATACGATTTTGTTCATAAAAAGTGAAACTGAGTGATAGTTAGATTACATGTCAGTACATTAAATTATTCAGGAAATAATACGCTCTGACAAAGTTCATGATACTTGAATGAAAGTGCATATAACGATACACATTATTGTCTCTAACGCAATAGTGTAGGAGACATTAAAGAGTAATATATGAATATCTTTACCTGTCCGTATTGGTGGTATATGCGAATATATCAGAGATAAAATGGTTGGCAACTCTTCAGGTATGATTAAGCCAGTAATACCTAAGAAGTTCATTTTCAATAGATTAATAAAGTCCATTTGGGTCGCCGTCGTGGGTGATGAAGAGTTGCAAGTTCGTGCAAGAAATTATTAGAATTTCATTGAACATAACTCAATTTAATAAATGAAATGAATTTCCTTTCGCTTTTAAATGCAGAAGTTTGAGGAAATATAACATTTATTGTTGGAACGATCGCATGTAATGCTGAATGCAAAAAAATTTCTGAAGCCCGGGAAGGAACATATTTATACGTACCGGAACACGTAAGAAATAAAATACCGAAGAACAGAAAATTATTTTCCATTTTGTGACTTGCACGATCCTTTATTTTAGAGAATCATCACAACCATAGTCAATACTGACAGTTTAATAATCACTGATAAATTCTAGGCAAAATTTGGAATGGACTGGTGGAAAGACATTCTCAAACTGACGAGATATTCCTCGAGAAGACGGGTAGCTCTGTCATCAGTATATAAAGACACTGAGGCAATACTATTGGAAAGAAACGGTTTTTCAGTGAAAGGACTGAATGAACGCACGAGATCGAGGTCAGCGCACCCGAGTAGGCCACTTGTAGCTTAGCGAATTTTTACGTTTAGAATTGAAAAATAAACAGTTGTTAGTCTTTATCGCGCCTTTATTTGGCTATCTATTGATATTATTAGGGTAAAAAAATAAAATGGAATATTGAGGTCATCGATAGAATGCGCAAAAACGTAGAGTTTTTGGTCAAAAACTCTGCGTATGTAAAGACAATTTTAAAAAGAGAAGAAATCCTATAGAAACCCCATATTTAGTTCAATTCATCAACTACGTATAATCTCTATGCACATACCTATGTCCCCAGAAGTTGTTTTCTAGGAAATTCGGAAGAATTCAAAAAGTTCCTAGGAATCTAAAGAGAAATCAAGAGGTTTCCATCTGGCGATACAGTCAAGGAACGTCTACTATTAGTTCGGGTAATGGATTTTGTGGTGTTGCATATTTATGTAAATATAAATGAATAAATAAATGGATTAAATGGTGAATTTCATTGCCAAGTAGTAGATTGATCAATCAGTTTTCTCTAACTACATTGTTAGAAAAAAAAGAAAAACTAATTTTACGATTTTTCAAATTCGCATTCTCCATTCTTGATGTTTGATATATTAGCAAAACTTTGAGATATTGCTATTTCATCGTATTTTCTGAATACTGTATTTTTTAAATTTTTGGTGACTTATATTGCAGTTCAATTAGATTTTCTGCATTCTGTTGAGTGCTCTGCATTGTCCCATAAGCTGAGATCATGATTTGTACCTCATATAGTTGACGTTCTTTTTTTACCATGCAGATTGAATGCAGGTGGGTATAATTGTGGTATGGTTCAATATTTTTCGTCAATTCTACGCAATTCCCTTCGACAACCTATGATCGTAATTCCATTCGCTTAAAGTTTTTTTTATCAACTCGAAGAACTAAGTGGTGAAACGGAAACCATAATAAGTGTGGTGGTTACGACAGTCTGTGGAGGTAAGAGGCACATTTTTTCAGTATACACACACATTACCCAAGTGATTCACCTCGACCTGTCTCTTATTTCCATAGTAAAAAGAAAGATAAAAAATATACTGACTTGACTCGATTACGTTTATTAAAACTGTAATTAATTTTTTTGTTCTTCGAGGATAGCGTAAACTAGTTTATTTATGTTCCATAGGAAGATAAAAGCACTTTATGATGAATTCCCAAAATTATCCAACTGTGGAATAAATATTCTCCAGAAATTTTTTTTCTGACGATTTATTTAGTTAACACTGCTTGGTGCAACTGGCTCTCAAATAATTTGAATGCAATTTCATTCATCTTTGATAAATCTAATATAGTTACCAGCTACGAATATTTAAAGCACTATTTTATCCAGCTCGGAAGTAAACTATTTATTTGTTGCTTCCAAATGGAAGCTTCAGAAATATGTTCTTTTTTATTATATAATTTTTTTTATTTCCAAAGAGTTGGAAAAGATTAATAAAAACAGGAGTGAATGCTATAATTTTACGGGTTTCATTCTAATAAATTTCATACTCTAATTTATAGAGATGAGGATTTACTTGATTGCGATTTTGTTAACATGACTTATGTATAAAAATACTCGTAAAATCAAATTCAAATTTTCATTGGACAAATTGAAACGATTGATAGTTGCAGACTATGAATAATTATATAATGAATCAATAAATAATTCATACCAATAATATCGATAAAATTCCTACCTGAATTCTTGAGCTGTTATTACCTTATTCATCCATTAATAATAATCAATAATCAGGTCACACTATATTGATAATTAAAACATTTCCGACACTTTAACATTCGAACTACGACCCCTGGCGGACCTGTCGATTCACAGAATCAACCGGTTCAGTATATCGATCACCATTCGATTATTGGTCGATAACCAACCGGTCGACTGACAATCGAATGGTAACCATACGATTATTGGTCGATAACCAACCGGTCGACGAACAATCGACGGGTTATCGACATACTGAACCGGTCGGTTCTATGAATCGACAGGTCCGCCAGGGACCTCAATCGAAAATTCCTTTGACTATTTCTAATCTTGTCTGCTAGGTACAAAAAAACATTTAAATATACATCATGTATTACGAATATGTATTAGGAAGTGTTATGTGGTGATGATCGTTGAGCAAACGTGATGTAAAAAACCTAAACGAGTAAAACGCAATAATTCTAAAGTATACATTTTCAGTAATGCGTATCCACTCACTGCGGAGACTGGTGATCAGGTGCGTACCCTCAACTTGATCAAGGCCCTCTAGATGTGACCCCAAGAGATTGCTCTCAGGGTCTCCTCTTCTTTTTTCAGGGCCTCTCCCGAAAGAATCACAACGGAATTAGAGATGTTCTAGTCATTTCCACTGACTGTTTCTGGAAGTAATTTTTAGAGGGACAGGGGAGTGTGAGCTCCCCTCGAGACTCGAGTCAAATTTTAATTTTGATTCATTTTTCAGTATGCACTGTGACAATGATAATCGTCGCAAATGCCCTGATACCTTTTTCCATCATTTTTTTCAATTTTTTTGATCTTTATAGCTGGGTAGATTGCTGCAGACAATCAACATTGGGTAATTAGCTAATACGGCAACTCAAGATAAATTGCAATTTAATATTATTATTATTACTTCAACAAGTTTATCTCGATGGGAAATGTCCGAAACACAAGTGGGGAAAGCGGAATAAAGCCCTGGAATACCTGTGAATTGTTCAGTTTAATGCATCGCAACTGTTGAAAACATTGCCATACACGGACGTCTCGACTGGCGGGGTTTATGCAGTAGATCAAATCCGTAGGATTTGGCCAAGACCCTGTGTGCTCATCGCCAACATCGATGACCATACGCAACCATCAGGTACACATTGGGTTGCCATCTACACCAACCCAAGAGGAGAGGGAGTCTACATCGACAGTTTCGGACTACCGCCTTCCGACCACCGATTCAGACATTTATTGCGACGAAATTGCCGATTATATAAATTCAATATTAAAAGACGTTTTCTTGACGGTCATGCTTTGCGGTCATTATTATATCTGTATATGTTACATTGGCTTTGTAATGATAATTCTCTACGTTCATTCCAGGAGCGATACTAATATTATATTAACTATGTTTAAAAATATTGCTGAGAAAAATATAAATAAATATCGAAAAAATAAAAAATAATTCACTATACTATCTGATAACGGTAGAATTGAGAACCAAATTTGTACTTCTCAATATGAATCCTAAATTTTTTATGTTGAATAAATTTTCTCTTCATCATAAATTCCTCTAATCATTTCAATCGCCCCACCCACTATCCTCCACCACCTCATTTCTATCCTCCACCCACTACCCTCCATCAAGCAAACCAAGCCACCACCACCCACCCACCAGTACATGTGGGACTTTCCCCCTCTTTTCCCCGCTTTCCGACAAACGGTCTAACCAGACACCCTCGCTTTCGCACTGGCGTCAGACGGGGCGGAAGGTGGAGGGAACTGTCCTCCTAGTCTGTGCACCCTCTACTCTCCACTCACTCACTAACACCTGCCTGTAAAGTTTACTTTTCTTGGCGGTTGAGTGCGCGGAAGGTGTTCATTTTCCGCACATCGTGCGTAAGGTTCAGTGGTCGCTCATACAGTGAATTCTCGTGTGTAAAGCGAAGCCTTATTACCGCTGTGAACAGTAAACTCGACTTTTATCCCAAAAAATAATGTGTATTACGTATACGTCTCAAGTCCCGACTTATGTAAAATAGTCGATCGCGATTAGACGAAAAGCATGAACATGCAGAAGGATAAAAAAGTTTTCGTGAAAAAATTGACTATTTATGCTATTTTATTGTGTTCCTTTATAGTAATATATCACCATGAATAGATGAATTTGTTAGCCTTTTTCATCCATTTTCCAACAAAATCACATTATTGATCATTTTTTTCACTCAATTTCGCGGATTATACATTTTCCAGAGATATTCGTCTTACAATTACAAATTAAGAGACTTTCCTGACGAATTACACCGATCCCTAATTACAATATATTACATTTTATTTATTTGGTTTCAATCGTTAATTTGTTCCGCATTCATAAATTACATCTACGGAATCATAAAAAATCAATGATGTATTTCATCGCTCAGACCAATTAGTGCACTGAGCAGAAAAATGGGTGCCGGAAATAATTTTATTAAACATGAAATTTTAGCACATTTTTATCACGTAACATTTATTTCCTCATTTTCTTCATTATCAGTGAGATCCGTAAGACTGTTCAGAGTAGAGACATCGCTATTCAGATCCAATCTACTGGACCGATCATTATCAGTGTCGCTCAGATCTGGGTTTGGATTATTTTTATTCGGTAGTGTTTGTTCACGGGATCCACCAGCAGCCATTAGTTCTCGTTCTTTATTATTTCTCCATTTCATCCGACGATTTTGGAACCAAATTTTTACCTGAAAACACAAAACGAATATCAAAGGAATGACATTACATAATCAATCATTATGTTATGATATCCCATTAGGGAAAAGAAAAAATAGTCATGAACTCAATTGAATACAAGAGTCTCCCTCGGGGGCAATTCTATACCCCCACTCCTCTTTGTTGAGTGGAAAGAACCGGGAGATCCCAAGGGCTGCCCATTCAGTTGGAGGTAGCGCCCTTATTTCCGGGATTAAAGAGCATGCATTATCGAACCAGCAAACGTCAAATGCACGACCACAGTATTCTCCTTCTTTGCATGTACCCCCTTTATCTTTTTATACACTATAAACACAAGAGTAAAAATCCTTCTTTTCCAGCCCTGAATATATAACATTTGACATGGTATGAAGGAAGTAAAATTCCAAGACAGACTATAGTATAGGTCTACATATAATTGAACATATAATTGTGTAATACAAATAAACATAACGTCGTTTTCATCACACTGTCGGTAAACCGGTGTTTTGAAGATTGAGAATAAAAATTATGTTCGTCACTCGGCCGAAAACAACTGCTCCGAGACGTGTGATTGCATTTCTTGGCCTCGGTCTGCAATCCTGACACTCGTCAGAAAAGTCGTTTTCAACATTGTAACGAAAATAGCTATTTCTAGCGAGTGCGAGTGTATCAATTAAAAACAATTCGATCATTTCTACTCAGTTTCTACACTTTTAAAGGCAAAATCGGTTTTTTGGAATTCTCCGCCATTTTGGATGGGCTTAGGTGATTCAAAATATTTTTTTTGTGACCACATGGGAAAGAAATCTCACGGAGGCCATTTTTTTATTGCAGGACTTTCAAATTTCAGCAGTGTCCGCCTTTAAAAGGAAAGGTTCCAGATTTATCTCACCGATTTTTTTCATTTTGACATATGTTGTTCTACATGAAAAATTATTAACCACGTATTTTATCAATTTGCTAAGAATTCGGACATAGAGGGCAGAAAATGGCGTTTAAAGTTTATTCCAAAAAATAATTTTTCGTGATTTCCAAAAAAATACGTCATCTTTTCACAATTTTGTTTCTGCATTCAGTTACTCATTCGAATGGGCCTTTATCGAAATAGGTTTCGTTTACAACGAAGATAACTTAGACTTCATTTACACACGGATAAAAACACCACGCCATTGCAAACAATCAGGAAATTGCATCAATATATTATTGCTTCCAAAGTTTGTATTTCGTCGTTAAGATCCTCCTCAAGTATTGTAATCAATGTGCGACATCATCGCCCGGCGGCCTCTTGTCGATTTGAATTCCCTGTTCATGTTTACGTCAGTATTTCAAATATTGAGAATGCATGAGAAAAAGAAGAATCGAGATCCAATGCATAATGTTGTTTTTTATGGATGCTTTTTTCCAATTTCCATATTATTAGTATGACGCAAGAAAATTGATTTTAGTGACAGACAGATTCACCCCGATCGATGGAACCGGCAAAATAACGTTATTTTTAAATACACTATCGATACGCATACGGGCTATAAGTAGTCTTATGATAACAAAATACATATATTTTCAAGTTTTCGTGCCTATCGGACCGGGCTAAATCCACGTGAATTCTCATCATCACGAATACTATTGTAGTGCAGTGCAGTCAATAGAGAAGAATATACTGTTTGCTTGGTGACTTCAGTTTATGATACATGTCGGACATATAAGGCAAAACGGAGTGAATTCGAATGGCGGGGATAACAAAGAAAAAGGGGAAAATGGCATTATCAAACATTTATTTGGACGTTTTCACCACGTAATTATGTGACTAGGATTCAAATCTAGCCAGGGCAACCCGTAACGATGTAACGATGTAACCCGTAACGATGAACGAAGCGGGAGAAAACCATTTGCGTACTGTTAGTTAATTCTGCTCCGCCGATCGACTTTGCTGTTTTTTTCTTCCATGTCATTTCATATGCCCTTCATAATTGGAAAAATTATAAGTGTTAATTATGAAAATGATATATTTGATGAACACTTGCGTTTTACGACGGTACATCTTCTTCAATTGTTGTTGGTGACTTTTCAACGATTGCCATTGCAAAACACTCCAGTAACACAACGTGATGAAATTAAAAGGAAAACTTGAACAAATTCTACTCGAGGCTATTATTGAATTCAGTGGGGTAGACAGTGTTGACGAGGAAACATTTGCATTCCAGGAGCCTTATAAGGATGTATCAATAAAAATGGTAGAGGATAATGACAAGATATGGGGTTAAGATGATAATGACGATCAATGTTTAATTGATTCAGTAAGATTGAGTCATGATTATAAAGCAAAAGCCGTGGAATTCTGAATTCTATTCGGAATTCTGAGGAGCAGGTAATTGAAAAACCTGATATTAAAAACGGTTCAAAATCGATTTCGCACATTCAAATCAATAACCCAATTCAAGCGTTGGGCTCATACACTCAATAACGGAGCCAGTTCGTTCATTGGCATTTGCCAGTTCGTTCTGGAAAATTTTAAAAACTCCGTTGAAACGGGATACATTATACATGATATAGATTTGCAAAGATGGGCTTTGCAAGCCCAGAAATAAATTAGGGATGTGACGTATGGACCCAGTCTATACGGGGATTATTTTACTATGAACAAATAATATTTCGAGTGTTATTTCCGTTCGCGAAACTGAAAGAATTTCAGTTTCCATAAGCACGGACTGCTTTACTTAAGCAGTCTCATGGTGAAACTTGAGCCCAGTTTCCGTCCAAAAACTGTTCGACTGTATTGGAAACTCAATGACAGCAGCATGGCTATGTTAGTTTCTAAAAACTGTGAGAATGCTTAATTTGCGTTGGGCTCGCACTGGCTTGTAGCCCCACGAGGAACGCAGATCACAGTTAGAGGCGGAACAGGACAGTCGGTCCTCCTTCAAAGAAATTTCCGTACTTTTAATCACGCGTACACTAGACCCAATTTCACCATTGTCTTGTAGACATTAAACATCACTCACATTATATTATCCATTTTATTATGCAAACGGGAGTGATCATTTATCGACCTTCTCCCAATAAAAATCCCAATTTTGAGCTGACTCTCCTTAGGCTCTGATCGCACGAGCCAGCCGGAAACAGAGGGGTCAACTTAGCGACCCGAGGGTTCATCACAGGTGTTACAGCCCTGAGTGTCTCCGGAACGGGGCAACTAAAATTTTGGTATTTACTCTCTCGGGAATGAAATGAAGGGCAATAAAATAGGGACTACCAAGGAACAATAATTTCTTATTTTCTACAAGGTAGAATTTCGATCAATTTTTTAATGCTGATAATTATTGAGAGGGTTCACTCTAGGTCATAACATCAAGGTCATCTTCTAGAGCAATATAATTGTCATAATTGAAACCTAATGAGTACCTAATGAGCCTGGGAAATTATTAATCCATAGTCAAATAGTCACTAACATCATCAAACATTACTCAATCAATTAATATCATAACTTTAGATTAATTCATAATTCATACGGAAGATACGAACCTTGAATTTTCAGAATCGTGTTAGTCTAGTGGTTAGGCCGCAGGATTAGTATGCGTAAGGTCATGGGTTCGAGCCCATCATAGGTAGAATATTTTAAGTTATCAACATCGGATTTTTAGGTGGCATCTGCGTTGTGGCTCGTTAATCAGGGGAAAATAATTAATATTAATGCATGGGATTTGTTTTTCCCCTCATTTTTACTAATAATCATGAATGATGAGGCCTACTGTGCTCCATCGATTTTTGTCCCCCATTCAATTTAGATTTTTCCTCTTATTAATTTTTCAAGAATTCTAACCGATATGGAGATAAATGAGCAGTTCGATCTTGAATTATCTTTATTGTTTCATAATGCTTTATCCATTTATTTATTTATTTATATTTCATTCCTACCGGCGCAATGCATCGGTTCGGTGTACATACGGCATCACTACTGCGTACTGCACTAAAAATGGCAATGGTACGAAAGCAGCACAGGAACCGTACAGCGTACTTTATACACTCATCAAAAATTTATAGCTCCCATGTAGTATCATTTTCCTGTGAATTATAAAACGAAAAATGATTTTTCAGTGATGATCAAATTGAATGAAATTCCCCTAGCGAAAAAAAAAATTAGAACTCCATTTTCTTAAAATTCGATTCGCTGATTGTAATCTAACCAGACCCTCCAGGGATTCTCCAGGGACAGATTTCAACAGTTTACAAGTCTGACTACTTGACCAAATGAACCCGTTCATGGAATCCTTACTCAGGATGGCGAATATTTTCGTTGAAGATCCCAGGTACAATTAAATGCAAATTTAATGTACCAGCCGAATCAATCAATGGTGAAATTACTTATCAATGAAGTTCATTATTACGTAGAATTGATGAGAAATATGATCCAGAATATGTGTATAAATAATTATCTGTTCGTAAAAATGTAGAAATGCCAATAAGTGTGTTGTTTCAACTTTCCACTTATACAGCATGGATGGAAAATAACAGTAATTAGAAAATTGATAACTGACCTATGAAGATTATTTGTCAAAAGGAACAAGGCATTCATCATTATCGACTGATAAATTGCACTCAGAGAATCACATTATTAATACCTATATTTCATCAGTTTCAAATTCTGCCCCCTCTGATTGCATGGTTAAATCGCGGGGGTAGGCATAATGACATCTGGAACGCGTTATAGAGTGGAGGCGAGAGTGGGTAATCGTTAAATGATTGGCTGCAGCTTCGGTACCTTCCACCGCCTAATCCCCTCTTGTGCTCTGCCGTCACCTCCAGGGATTCCATTTAACTGCACACTCATCCTCTCCCTACCCTTTCAACAGAAGACGGGCTCTCTCACGGGCCGTGCTAAATCGTAGCATGCCTCCACCCAAACGCCAGCGCTTACAGTGGCCATGCGCCATCTGGCGCCATTTAATAAAAGACGATCGATTATGACATCCGCCTCAGAACTACCCTACGTGGAGAAAGAAAACGCGCAGATGAG